AGGCACATGGAGATGAAGCTAGCCCCTGCCCTGGCTCACTGGAAGGTGGAGGTGGACAGCTAGTTAGACTGTGGTCCTGGGGAGACACCTGGCTTCCTTTCCCCAGTGACTGTCCTGAGATCTGGTCTTGTTTCTAATCCCTTTGCTTCTGAGCTTGGCAGTATCTGGAGCTATGCCAGAGAAACCCAACCTCTTACCTTCTAAGCCAACCTTTCCTTTGCCTGAGAAGAATCACAAGGTGCTTGATATTGACTGACTTTTCTCTCAAGCCAGTCTGCTTTGTGTCTTTAACAAACTCTGTCCCATTACCAGTGCATTGTAATTTGTTATTCTGTAACAGATTTTCCTCTTTTTATATTGTTTTGTTCTTCTGGAATTTTAAAATCAGGATCAACATGTTCTTAAAGGCCCTCTTTAAGCTATAAGAGTGCTAGATTTGTGTGTTTGTTATCTTGCATCAGCAATTCATTTTTGTCTTTATTATCTAATAGTTGAATGCCAACGAGTCTTCATTGTGACATGGCTTTGTTTTGTAATTCTTTATTGGATCAAAAGTTGGATTTAACACTGCCCCATTTACTGAGACACAACTAGTTATATAGCAGGAAGATTTGTGACTACACGGGCGTAGATAGGTTTTTGAATATCTAACAAATACATTTATTAACTCTTTAATTTTACTTATAAATTTGATTTTTGCTTCAATACTTATGAAAGACCCTTTGCTGGAAGGTGCATTTTTATTGTTATGCACCTGGTTTTGATTTGGGTAGTGGCGAACTCACAAGCTTCTCACAGGAGTTAGTGAGAAGGCATGTATAGTGGAACAACTGTTTTTCTTTACATGAAATAATCAGATGAAAATTGAGCTTTATTTTCTAGCTAGTTCCTCCTTTTTAAGCACTGTTAAATGTTCTTGTTAGTTTACTCAGTAGGCAATAAGTAGGCGGACACTAATTAAACTTTTGAGTACTTTTAATTCAACAAGGTTTAGTCATTGTTCTCTGTATGCACAAGGTTTTTAAATCTTGATGCCCTTTTATTTCTTTGTTAGTTAGCCATATTTTCTGTTGGTTTGATTAAAAAGTAGAAAAACTAATTTTTAGTCAATGTAGTAGGTGTACACCAAATATTTACTGAGTTGCACAGAAGCAACAATTTTAATTCTCACCAGAGGAAGTTGGACATTTAATGAGTGAGCAATTGAAATCTTTGTCCAGATATTTCACCCAGAAATACTAGGTATTCTGTGATCATCTACAGGAAATTTGCTTTGGTTTCACAGATTATAAAAATCTTTCTTATAAATTAACATAAAGCATAATATATGTGAAAGTGTCTTACCAAAGTATCAAATGCTATAAAAATGTAAATATTTTAAAATTAAACCTTGAAATACTTAATGGGTTGTTGTCATGCTTTGCAAATAGGAATTTTTTGGTGGGTTCCAACATTATACATGCATATATAGTTTATGAACTTTTTTCATTGCGGAAACTGTCAAAATATACTCAAGTGGAGCTATTCAGCACAGCGAACCCACACCCTCATCATTCAGTTCCAATATGTGTCAATGTATGACCGATCTTATCTCATCTCTACTCCTACTTCCCTCCTCCTCCCTTGAAATATGACTTTCAGAAAGTGATTTCACATATAGAAAGTTCATATATTCTGGAAGTCAGGCAACGAACATCAGCCTCTATGACTTAATATCACAGTATTAGCAAAGCTGCATTCCTTTTGAAGGCTCAGAGGAGAATTATTTCTTGCCTTTTCCAGTGTCTTGAGCCTCCTTCATTCCTTGGCTCATGGCCCCTTCCTCCATCTTCACAACCAGCTGCACAGCATCTTCTTACTTCTCTGACATCTGCTTCATCATCACATTTTTTAAAGTTGAAGCAAAATTACCCGAACATAAAAAACAACTTTTTAAATGATGGAATTCTGTGGTCCTTATTATATTCTCCAAATTTTATAGTCACCACTGTCTAATTTAAAACACTTTTATCACCCCAGGAAGAAACCCTGTACCCATTAAGCAGTCAGCCCTTAGCCCCCTCCCAGCCCAACTGTTATAACCAATGCCACTTGAACATTTACTGGGCAAATTCTTGTTTGGACACTTGCTTTCAATTATCTTGGCTGTATACCAAGGAATGGAAATGCAGGATCATATGGTAACTCTAGGTTTAATTTTTTTTTTATTTTTTGAGCAAGTGCCAAACTATTTTCCATTAATGGTGATTGCACCATTTTAACATTCCCACCAACAATTAAGGATTCCAGTTTCTCCACATACTGGCTAACTCTTGTTATTTTCTTTTTCTTTCTTTCTTTTTTTAGCCATCCAAGTGGGTGTGTGTGAAATGGTATCCCAGGTGATTTTTAAAAACATTTTGGCTTAACGGACACACAGAAGTTTCTACCATTCGTCTACTCTCCTTTTTGATTTCTGTCCTCCTTGTTTGCAAATGAATAAAAACAACTGGGATTCATTCAACACTGATATGTTCTTGGAGTTGTGTTGAGCTCTACTTCACTTGTATTATCACATTTGCAGACCATAACACACAGGATTTAACCAGAAGCCTAGATTCCTGTGCATAAACAACCTTGAAGGTAATTAATAAGGTGAGGCTGACAGTAGGTGTGTCCTTTCAAGAAGACACAAATTTACAAAGCAGTATACATTTGGGAGTAATAATGGTTACTGCAGAAAAAAATTCTGTTTGCAGAAGGATTCACTCCAAGGCTCCTTTAAATAGCAAGTTCCTTGATTCATTAAACATAAAGTTCAATCTACTAAATCCAAAGAATGGATAACTATTTCAGGAGGTCATCAGTTATGTTAAATGAGGCAAATCCAACCACTTATTTGCTCATTAGGTCTTTCTCCCAAGTGCTCATCTGCATAGCAAATGAGAATGTACTCAATAGGACTCATGAAATAAGATCAAGAAAATGTGTATTGGGTCTGGCAATTAGAAAGTCATCGATCATCTTTAAAAGAGCTGTTTCTTCATGGGGTAGGGACAGAACAGAGAAAGGCAGCATCGAAGATGGCCTTGTTTAGGGTGGGGAAGGCTGGGAAGAGGGACTGAGAAGTCAGTGGAAAGAGTGGATTAAAGACAAGTGATTTTTTACAAAAAAGCTGAAGGCGACAGAAGGAGAATGGAAGCGGGGATGTAGTTGTAAGTGCAGAAATAGTTGGATTTATTGTTTTCCTGGTAGAAAGAGAACCAGCCATATTTTTTGACTTGTGGAATAGATCCAGATGTGAGATGCTGAAGGTACAGGGAAGGGAGGGGTAGCTAATTGATGATGACGAGTGTGTAGTTGTGAAGTGACGGGCCAAGGACATGGGTGGCATATTAGCCTTTGGGGAGGAGGAGGATGCCAATGGGAACCAGAGATGAGTTTCTGTGGAGGAAGGAAGCTAGTTGTGGAATTTCCGTGGGATGTCTTTATACCTGGTTTTGACTTGGTAATCTGGTTAGCAAGAAAGGTTGGGACTTACATGTGGATTTTAAGAAGAATGACGGTCTGAAGGAATGGGAGAAGAGCTAACCAGAATAAAGGCATTATCCTAAAGGACAACTGGACCCTTGGAAGGTAGCTTCTCTGCTGCTTTTGACTGGGCTGGGCAGCCTCTGTGTCTGCCCCAATCCTGTATTTCTTTCTTTCTTTCTTTCTTTTTTTTAAGATTTATTTATTTATGCATACAGAACTGCGGTACAGGCCAGAGGTGCAAGGGTGGTGAGAGGATTCACCAGAGTCATAATGGGGAGCAGAACAGGCAGATCGTTGAAGTACACTGATGAGAGGAGCAGCGGGTGGGTCAGGAGAGGTCAGGATCCATGCCATGTGGATCACCTCTGGGGCGGGCATCGAACTCATGCTGAAGTGCCTTTAGCTTTTTAGTGCTGTGCTTTAACCTACTGTGCCACCAGGGAGGGCCCTTGTTGGCCATTTTTATATCATTGCACAAATAGCTACCAGATGTTTCCTCTTGTAATATAAATGCTCTTACATTTTGGAACCATTTGCATATTGTGCATGTGGTAGTAATAAGGTAGGCCCCAAACTAGAAAGGAAACAGGTTAACACTCAATAAACCCCTAGTAACCCAGGTAATTTCATTTTATTTTTTTTTAAAGATTTATTTATTTATACATACAGAACTGGGGTACAGGTCAGAGGTGCAGGGGATGAGACGATTCACCAGAGACAGTGGGAACAGAACAGGCAGATTGACTGAAATACACTGCTGAGGGGAGCAGTGGGCAAGACAGGAGAGGTCTGCTGTGCCATGTGGGTCAGCTCCCCGGCCCAGGGTTGAGCTCTTGCTGCAGTGGCTGTGATAGCTTCATAGTGTTTTGCTTCAATCTGTTGTACCACCAGGGAGGGCCCCAACCCAGGTAGTTTTAAATTGCCCATGATATTAACTCAATGTAAATATGACGGAGAAATTTGAGTCCAGGAAATGAAGGAAGGTATCAACCTGACTCTCCCCACCAAAACAAAAAGGATCCAAAGGGGTATTTTAAAAATATGTTTAGTCTCATGTACCTCTTTCTTGATTCACCAAGTTTCCTTTTTTACCCCTTAACCTGGGTATAGCATCTTGATATATTTAAGTAGCTGTGTGATGGGTGCTGTCTGTCTTCTTTCCTGAACTTTCCTTTCTTACCGGAGCTTTCCCATCCTAGAGTCTGTCACTGAAAGATGTGAAGCTACCACAACCCTGGATTTCATGGGTAAATGGTGATGGCTCCAGTTTTCCAGGGACTCGGCCCAGGTGGTTTAGTTCTCTCGTTATGAAATGCATAGGGCAGTTGTGATTTGCTCCATCTGTAATGTTCAGAACTGTTGGTACCAGCTGTGCAAAGATCTGGCTGAGGTGGAGACATTGCTCTGGACAGGTGGAATTATTTGGGGGCCTCTCTTTGCAAGATCTAATCAGTGACCCTGATTATTTTTTCCCCCTGCCTTCACAGCCTCTTCCTGAGAAGTTTGTGGTGAAAGGTGTTGTGGATCGTTTCTCGGAGGAGTTCGTGGAGACCAGAAGAAAAGCTCTGGATAAATTCCTGAAAAGAATTGCAGACCACCCTGTGCTCTCTTTCAATGAGCACTTTAGTGTTTTCCTTACTGCTAAGGTGAGGACGAAACTTTTTCATATTCCAACCTCCCCCCCAAATAAGGCTTTTTTTGGACCACTGTAGGGGTGTGGTCTGGGGAGGACAGGGTGGTGTGGACAGGTGTCGGGCTCTTTCTTCAAAGCTGCTGGCCCGTCTCACAAGCCACCATCGTAGATGGCCCACTGTGGAGGGGTCCTCCACAGGAAACACACGCAGCCCCAGAGGAAGTTAGAGGATTTTCATTTGCAAGAGCAGCAGTGAGGGTTTGTTTCAACACCTGCGAGGTATTGCTGTGCGTGACAGCCTGAGCCACTGAGGCGTCAGCACTGTGTCTGCCCCGTGTCCTGCCAGGAGCTGTGTGTGCTTCCTCATTACCTTGCGTGATGGAGGAAGCTGGATCCAGGAAGTTGCTGTCTGTAGGGTTGGGCTTTGTGGCTCCCGGGCCACGTGTTCCCTCTGCATGGGACCGTCTGGCCGACACTGTCAGCATCACCTGCCCACAGCCCCGTCCCTCTCAGGCAGCACGTTCAAGCATTTATCAGAGAAAGCTGGGTCCCCGGCAGCTGCCAGATTCTGGACATTCAGGCTCAGGCCTGCGGCCAGATTGGCAGGAAACCTGAGCTGCTCGGCTCTTGTCTACAGAAAGGGGATCTCCTGCTTAGCCTCCTGCCAGCTTCCTTCCAGCCTGGCTGCTTAGTTTCTTGTATCACATCTTCAGACCATAACTAATTCATTACGTGCTGGCCAGGCTATCGAGACCCAGGAACTCACCACTTAGCCTTTTCAAAATGACAGCGTTGACAACTGTTGTACAAGTAACACCAGTTGGTTTTAAAGATTTTGGAAAAAGATGCTGTTCTCCAGGCAATGGAAACCAAATGCTAAAGTGTTTGGGGTTTTAATTTTTTTCAAAATCTTGATATATTTACTTACATATATTTTACATCATTGTTCATTTTTGTATAATACTTGCTTTCTTCTCTCAGGTGTCATCCCCATAGAAATCCCACAGCCAAGTCTTACCTGTGCACCGACACCATGGTCCCTTGTGCTGGGGTTTTCTAAGACCTCCATTCACTTTTAATCTTTTAATTAAAAGATCTTTCTATTCATCTTTTTCTCCAGAGACCTTTTCTTTCACAGGTCATACATCTTAAACTTAAAAAAAAAAATCTTTGCTGATGCAGTGATCCTCAGATATACTTCTTTTTTTCTTTTTTAAAGCATATCATCAATTTTTGGAGGAGGCCTTATTTTTTTTGTGTGTGTAGAAGATTTAGGGTGTAGGCCAGAGGTTCAGGGGGTGAGAGGATTCACCAGAGACAGAACAGGGAGCAGAACAGGCAGATCGACGAAGTACACTGCTGAGGGGAGCAGCGGGCAGGTCAGGAGAGGTCTGCCACGCCATGTGGTCAGCTCCCTGGGTGGGGATCGAACTCATGCTGCAGTGGCTAGCGATAGCTATATAGCTCTGAGACTTAACCCCTATGTCACCAGAGAGATCCAGATATAGTCTTTTAACTTCTAAATCAATCCACCCTGTTCTCCAGAAGGGCAGCCCGCTCTCTGAGCTGAGTGGCAGGCATGGTGCAGGCACATTAGTCACTGTTATTGAACAGCTTTTTTAAGAGCTTAGAACCCTGTCATTTAGGAATCTGTGTGAAGAACAGCTAGGAAATATTTGTGTGTGTGTATATTTATCTGTGTGTGACATTTATCTGTGGAATATGGAATATGAAGTGACTAAGGAGAAAAAGTCCTTCCATGTCTTTATCAAAATCCAACTTCATGTGCCTGAGTCCAGGGACATCAGTTTTAAATTAGGCAAATTCCAGCCCTAGGTCAGTTTTTCTTGCTGGACTAAATGCACTAAATAGCTTCCTCTTTTCATTTTTTTTCTTTATAATTAACAATAGCAAAAAGTTTCTTTTACCTGGTGAGCAGATAAACTTTTTAAACTTGGGCACAGTGGATTGTATAGCTCAACATATTTCTCATGTATGCCAGCCACCTTGACCAGCCAGCTCCGAGGAACATATGTATTGTTTGCAGCATCCATCCTTGGGCTGGTGTTTTTTGTTTTGTTTAATTTTTAACTAAGAGATTTTTTTTTTAAAGATTTATTTACTTGTACATACAGAACTGGGGTACAGGCCAGAGGCTCAGGGGCGGTGAGAGGCTTCACCAGAGACAGAGTGGGGAGCAGAACAGGCAGATCTACGAAGTACACTGCTGAGGGGAGCAGCTGGTGGGCCAGAAGAGGTCTGCCACACCATGTGGTCACCTCCTGGGCAGGCCAGGATCGGACTCATGGGGAAGTGGCTTTAGCTTCTCAGTGCTGTGCTTTAACCCGCTGCGCCACCAGGGAGGGCCCACTAAGAGATTTTTAAAAGCTGCAGTCACACTGCATTAGGACACTCTCTAGGCTTCAGGTACACATCCCTAAGCACCAACATGTGGCCATGTGAGGTCGCCCCTAAAAGCCCAGTTGTGCCTGTCACTGTTGTCCTGGGTTTTCCAGCACTGCTTTTCTGCACTGTTGACTGCTCCACTCTCTACCTTCCTTCTGTGGCATTAATTGGCATATAAATAAGTGATTGGAATAAGTCCAGCTCTTCAGATTTGCTCCTAGAGATGACTTGGGATAATTTGTATGGAAGACATGGATGTGGCGCTCTTTTGCTTCATTTGATCAGGGTTTGAAAAGTTATGTTGGAAACTGTGTGTTTAAAGAGTGAACCTGCTTAGAATGAGTACAGCTCTGCTAAAGGAAACACACGGTAGGTGAGGCTGCTGGATATGACGGCAGTAGGGATTCTCTCCTGTGTGGAGAAAAGTTTGGTCTCTTAACTCACTTCCTTATTTTCAGAGTCTTCCAGTTCCATAATGAAACCCCTTGAAGGCATTGGCTTATTTTGTCTTAACCTTGGGAGTGACAGAGCCCTTGGGGTTTGTTATTTGCATGTCATCCTTAGGACCTGAATGCCTATAAGAAGCAAGGGATGGCACTGCTGACCAGAGTGGGTGAGTCAGTCAAGCACGTCACTGGAGGCTACAAGCTCAGGAGTCGGCCTCTGGAGTTTGCAGCCATTGGTGAATACTTAGACACATTTGCACTCAAACTGGGAACCATTGACCGAATAGCCCAGCGGATCATCAAAGAAGAAATCGGTGAGCGCTTTGTCCAGGTCTTCATCAGTGCAAGGACCACATTTGCAGAAGTGGCTTTTCTGTGTGCACACAGAATCCACCTGCAATGCTGGAATGCCAGACCTGGGCCTACTTTCTTTGTAACCCTAATGCATGGGTTGGGGTGGGGGGAGGGAGGCAGGCATACAGCATTGCACTCATTCATTGCTCTCCTCTCAACCTTGTCCCTGCTTTCCCCAGGGCAAGCGACCGACCACTTCTGAACCTCTGCATTTCTCTATTTTTCTCTCGAATTGAGCATGAAATGTAGGCGTTGACTCATTGACCCCACATCCCTTCATTCATAGGCAGGATTCCTTAAAAACCCATATAGTTGTCTGTTTTGGCAGAAAATGGCTCACAAGGACAGCAGGGAGACGTGTATGTGATCCAGTGATGATCCCAATAAGCCTTCAGACTTGAACTTGACCCATCTGTCCCTCCCCCTCTTCCTGGCCTGGGAAGTCACTGAGGCCTTATTATTCCTGGTTGTGGCCAACTTGCTATTCTGTTTCCCGGAACCTTGGGGCTTTTAGTTTTTTTACACATGTGGGCTAGCCAGACCTGAACGGTGTGGATGATCACATGGCTGGCATGTGTCGTGAAATGCCTTGAAAGGATTCTCCAATAAGTGCCCTTCGTTGACTGCTAACGAATGGCAACAACTTTCCCTTGTAACAGTAACTGTCTTTGTGATGGGGCATAGCTTCCTTGTGAAGAAGCATAAATCAGTAATTTTTCTTGTTCCTGGACTTGACCTTTCCTTTCCCCACTGGCAGCATTGGAGACACCCACACCGAAGGAGCACATGCATACATTTGGATGGGGCCCAATATGGGGGGTGACCCCTGAGCAAGAGAGTGAATCTATTTATGTAAGGTCAAAGGTCACATTTGTAGCAACATATTTCCCAAAATTCCATTACTTTCCCATTATGAGTAATCTTCCCTCTTAAAAATACACCCTTAAACCCAGAGAAAATACTAATAATAAACAACTGTATACCAGAGATATTTTATGGGGGTGGAGTGGGATCAAAAACGGTGGGGGGAAGGAAATGCACTGGACTATGGTGATGGCACACGGTGATTTGGTGATGGGAAGCCCACGGGGATTACAACTGAGATGGAAAAAGGCACAAAATGATGTAAAAATAAGCTATTATATTATTTTAAAATATAAAAATAAAATACCCCCTTAAATCTGTACAAAACTCTACCCATAGTTAAGATACTGCTTCACTGTGTGCACAAGTAAGGGGTTATTTCTAAAGATACTTCATACAGGTAGGTTCTTTATGCTCCCCCCAGAAGACACTGGGGTGCCCACTGGTCAGAAGCGTGCCATTCTCTTTGGGAGGGTCCAGTCAACTGATGGCTGTTAAGTTGTTTGCTGCGATATCAGCACCTAGAGATTAAAGATATCAGCATCTGAGTACGTTTGAAAGAGCAAGCTCAGTGAGTCATGGCCAGGAAGCATACCTGATGCCAGGAGCTCCTGGCTGTGGTGGGTTCTGAGGCAGCAATGCCAGTGACTGCTACCCAGACAGACCCTGATGGGCGTCTCCTCCTCTAGAGTACCTTGTGGAGCTGAGAGAATACGGGCCCGTGTACTCCACGTGGAGCGTGCTGGAGGGGGAGCTGGCGGAGCCCCTGGAGGGGGTGTCGGCTTGCGTCGGCAGCTGCTCTGCCGCTCTGGAGGAGCTCACAGATGACATGACGGAGGACTTTCTACCTGTGCTCAGGGAATATACCTTATATTCTGACTGCATGAAGGTAAGCTGACTTCTGATGCATCTAACACTTCATGATAATCGTTATTAAAAATGATTAGGGTGCGGCCCGCCCTGGTGGCGCAGCGGGTTAAAGCACAGCACTGAGAAGCTAAAGCCACTTGAACATGAGTTCGATTCCCGCCTGCCCCGGAGGTGACCACATGGCGTGGCAGACCTCTCCTGACCCGCCTGCTGCTCCCCTCAGCAGTGTACTTCGTCAATCTGCCTGTTCTGCACCCCACTCTGTCTCTGGTGAAGCCTCTCACTGTCCTGAACCTCTGGCCTGTACCCCAGTTCTGTATGTACAAATAAATAAATCTTTAAAAAAAAATTAAAAATGATTAGGGTGCAAAAAAAAAAAATGATTAGGGTGCAGTAAAAGTTTCCTTCTTCGAAGGTGGGCAGATTCCAACATATAGACTGAGGAAATGATATAGAAATGGAACATAGAGTGAACCGAGTTTGTGAATGAAGTGAAAAAATGGTTGGGAGGAGCGTCTCACTAGTGTGCTCTGGAAGTTCAAGGTCATAGGACATCTACTAAGAGGCTACGATTGGGCTTCCTTTCTTACTTTGGAAAGGTCCTTGGGATCATCTTACCTGACTTGCTCAGTTTTACAGATAAAGAAACAGCCCTGTGGTCTGTTCTCTGTTTTTATGGTGCCGTGCTAAAGACCTTGTATCTGTGCTAAAGACCTTGTATCTGTGCCTTAACTGTTGCTAAGAAGGATCAGTTCCTGCTTTTTGCAGGACCGTGTCTCAAATTGTCTTTGAGCACATCCTGACTGGGTACGTTCTGTTCCCTTTGAAGGTAGAGCGAAAGCATAGAAAAAGTAGGGTTGTTATCAGGTCGCATGTAGCAGATGGAGCGTGGAACAATGAGGACAGCTTGTACTAGAAAGACGGCTGATGACGTGCTTTCCAAGGTTGCTGTGGGGGAGAGAGTGCACAGTGCCTGGCGGGGTACCCAGGTTACCTGCAGGCCCCGGACGCAAGTTTAACACCCTGTAGGTATCTGTAGGTGAGTCCATATGTGGGAGTTTACATCTTATAGATTACGTGTGTGAAAAGTAATTAGGATGTGGTGGGCTGCACCATAGCATCTTAGAATCCTTACCCGAATCCTGGAAGTACCTTTGGAGTATTGCACGGCATAGCCAAACCTAGACGTGCAGCGTGTGCACTTGGAAGTTTGGGTTTAAAGGTGATACTCTGACCACTGGCTGGGAAAGCTCTGTTTGAATGTCCAGTGTTTAGTCAGAGGATGATCAACCTTTCCTCTCAGGGCCCACAAGGGGGGGCTGATGGGTCAGACTGTGGGGAAATTACTAGTTTGTGCTTGGTGGCCCATTCCCTGTTTCTAAAACTAAAGAGGTTTCCTGGAAGCTTGAGTTGAGAGAGGGGTGTGGGGGTCTATACCTTTCTAAACAGAAATGAGTATATATTGAGGATCTAATTTATTGAAAATTTGAAGCAGGTCTAGAGATGGGCACAATGGAATCAAATGTTTTTAAGATAGAGCGTGGGACCGTTTGAACTGTGAGCTCCCCAGTGGTGATAGACTGAATATGTATTTCAGCTTTTTCATTTACATGAATCTGCACCCAAGAAACACTAGAATGTTTAAAAATCAATAAAAGACAACAAAAGAAACAACAGGAGAGAACACAATCACAGTCTAATTTGGCACAGAAGCAAATGAAGAATAATAAGGGGCTTAGGTGACTGTAAAATGCTGCCTTTGCAGATGATGAAAGGATGACATTAAGTAGTCCCCTCATTTACGTTATGGAAGTCTCCAAAGGGCTTAAGGCTTAGCAGAACCAGCTACCCAGACTAAGGAGAGGTGGATTATCAGAGTCTGTTTAAGAAGCAGTTGCAGCTTCGGATTCTGCCCTCTCCTCACGTAGGGGCCACTCCCACTGGGGAAGAGCTGGAAGTAGACACTCTCGAAGGGGTAAAATGGGGTATGGGAGGTCACCAGGGTGGTTGAGAGAGGAGCTAAAATCCTAAAACCAGAACATTGAGTTAAAAGGTTGTTGAATGTTGAGACTTGGTCATCTTCCCCTGCTTGGCTCTCAACTTCCTTTCTTCACTGCCAAGATTGAAAAAGCCTTTTCTAGCAAAGCTGATTAGAGCCAGAGAAGAGATTTAAAGAATCTGATGTGGGGGGAGGGCCCCCCCCTCTCGCCACCCCACAGTGCTTGTAGAGAATGTCAAAAACCTTTTGGTGTGAGGAGACTTTTTAATTGGATTTTTAGCATCTCTCCCTCATGAATGTGCAGACAGGGTCACCTAATGCTTAGGAAGCTTTATTAGGAATATCATGTAAAACCCTCCAAGCAGAGGGCCCTCCCTGGTGGCACAGCGAGTTAAAGCACAGCACCAAGAAGCTAAACCCACTTCAGCATGAGTTCGATCCCTGCCCCAGAGGTGACCCACATGGCGCAGCAGACCTCTCCTGACCTGCCCACTGCTCCCCTCAGCAGTGTACTTCATCAGTTGGCCTGTTCTTCTGCTCCCCGTTCTGTCTCTGAATCCTCTCACCTCCCCTGTACTTCTGGCCTGTGCCCCAGTTCTGTATACATACATACATACATACACATACATACATACATACATACACACACATACATACATACATACATATAAAACCTCCAGGCTGAGTGAGTGAGACATCCTTGAGGGAGGAGATAATTTCCAGGGGGGAAAACATGGATAGCTTTAGGAAGGCAGGAGATTGTGTCACCACCATCAAAGAAGAATCTTTAAAAATTCAAATGGAAAAATAGTTCATGGGGAAAAAATTAGAAAAGGGAAATCACATCTAAATTGAAACAAGAAGAGGACGGAGGGTTGATGAGGAAAAATATGAAAATGAAAGGATGAGACCATCATGTCCAACATCTGAGTAACAGGAAGGGAGACTGAGAATGGGAAATGGCGCTGAGTTTCTAGGGCGACAGCTCGGCGTGAAGGCGTGATGTCTTGCTTGTGGGCCTAAAAGGAATTTACCCAGATAATGAGCGCTCGGTAATAAAGAGCAAATGAGAATAAAATAAAAACCAACAATGCCGCAGTCTTTAGGACAGAGAACTGCCCACAAGCGGAGCTTTTTCTCACAAGCGGGATGCATTTCTCTTTCTCCTCCACATTTTTCTTTATTTTCCAAAATGACTGTGACTGATTTCTTTTAAAATTAGGGCACAACGTATGGCTTCATTATTACGACATTGACCATTTAGGGACTACTTTTTCCTCCTCCTCCACCAAGCCTGACAGCCCACAGCCTCGCCAGGGGGAGAGAGGGGACTGTGCTCTGGGGGTGCAGAGGAGATGTGGAACTTTCCCGATGACCGTGATCATGGTGGCACTTTTTGGGAAAAAATCCAGTGTGACTGACGGGAGCCAGACCACAGACTGTATCTGTAACTGAACTTCAAGTGATTTTGTCCTGCTACTTTCATGGTTATTTGTTTGTTGTAAACTTCCTGCATGACACTTATTAATGCTTCCATTGCTTAACTTGTTATGATGGGAACATTCAAACATATCCACAAGGACGGGTATGTGCAGTCCCTGGCACCCACAGCCACCCCACAGCTCCCTGCTCTTAGCCACCTCATTCCGGCTCTGCTCCCGCCCACTCCCCACCCCCAGCACCTCATTATTTTAAAGCAAGTCTTAGACATCACTTCATACAAAAATACATAGTACATATCTCGAAAAGTACCAGCATTCTTTAAAAAAAAAAAAAAAGAAAACTATCACAGCTGAAAATATTTTTGCTGATTTCCTCAAATATCTAATTTTCTCCAGACACCATTTTTATGGGTTTCCTTCCAAATTGGAGCACCAAAAACAACAACACATTGATGGTTGATGGTCCGTAAACTTTTTTTTTTTTTTTTTAAGATTTTGTTTATTTATTCATCTGGAACTGGGGTACAGGCCAGAGATGCAGAAGGTGAGAGGATTCACCAGAGACAGAGTGGGGAGCAGAACAGGCAGATCGACGAAGTACACTGCTGAGGGGAGCAGCGGGCGGGTCAGGAGAGGTCTGCCTCGCCATGTGGACTTCTCCGGGGCAGGCGGGAATCGAACTCATGTGGAAGTGGTTTAAGCTTAGTAGTGCAGTGCTTTAACCCGCTGCGCCACCAGGGAGGGCCGATGGTCCGTAAACTTTTAAAATCCCTCTCTGGCTATTTATTTTCCTTGCCACTTACTTGTTTCAAAAAGCAGTGACATTTACCCTTCTTACGTTTGAAAAGGTGGTCAGGTTGCAGGTACCCAAGACCATTTCAAAGCAGATGAAATGCTCTGCATTTTAAGATACAGCAGGTGATACACATGGACCCCAGATCTCTGACTAAGAGTCGTCTACTCATCCAGGTCTCCCTGGCCCCGTATGTAGCTCCACCATCCCCCAAGCCCTCGCCCCTCAAAACCCTCGTTGCTGTTCGCTACCTCATTCACAAGCCACCCGTCAGTGCATTTTCCTTGTGGGTTGTTTGCTGCTGCTCTCAACTGTGAGCCCAGGAAGTGTTCCGTGTGTGTCATCTCTGCTGGGCCCTCACCCCTGGACAGATAAATGAAGAATCATCAAGGCAGAAAATGGGGTAGGCTGGCTGTGCAGAGGTGGGGCTGAGGGACTCAGGTGTCACTGTGCACTTGGCTTTTTGGTTGACAGCTCCCCCTCGTATCAGGGACCCGGTAAAGTTCGGTGAGAAGCTGATGGTGATGTTGCCCTTCCACACCACTGAAGGCTCAGGCCCACTGGCCAGGGGCTGGTCTGACCAGTTGCATCAGCACCGCCTGTGTTGTTTGGGGAGGGAGGCCAGTATGCACAGGTCTCTCAACACGGGTGGCAGTCTTAGACAGTTTATCTCGCTTCAGAACCTGTTCCAGGGTTGGGCGACCAGACAGCAGTCAGCCTGGGAGCACAAGCTCTCCTGCAGCACAGCAGGCAGGGCCTGTCAGGTCAGTAGCAACCGGTCCCTGTGCCTGACCGTGGTCTGTGAAGTTCCAGCCACACCCTTGACCTCCTGTGGGGTCGCTGCTGCTTCCCTGCTGGCTACTGTGGCAGGAGTCTTAGCACAAAACCTGCTGTCAGCCTGCATAAGAAGGTGGCATGCTGGTCACTCCAGTTGAGGTGGGCAGTGACTTGAGGGGACAGAAGAAGGCCCAGAGAAGGCCCAGGTGATCAGGGCAGGCAATATGTCTGGACCCTGGGCTCCCACCTGACTTACGGGTAAGGAGAAGAGCTGCATGTAAGCTGTCTGAGCTGTGGAACTGACACATCTCCTGTCACTGTCCCTCCGTACATCAAGGCCTGGACAACCTCATCAGAGGACTCGGAACTGAATGGCAGGCAGGAAGCCCCACACTGCTGACTGACTCCTAAGACCTTGTTTTAAGAGTATTGCTAGCTTTAGTTATGACATTCTTGCCACAGATGCCGTGTCCCTGGAGTGACTCATTCTTCTAGTGTACATGTGTGGGGGGCATCCTCTGAAGGGACTGTTGGGCAGTGAGACCCTTTCTGCTGCTCCTGTTCTTCAGGGAGACACACTTGGTCTCCACAATGAGCATCATGTGTTTCTTTCTCTTGGATGGAGGATAAGGTTTTTGCTACTACTGGTACTGACCAATAGATTCAGATTATTTCCTGGACTCTGTGAAATCCAGCAAGGACCCTTGTCTTCTTTAAATTTTTAGAATTGTGCTGTCGCTATGGCGGCCCACCAGCCATATGTGATAATTTAAGTTTAAATGTGGTGGTGTGGAAATGAACCTCCTCCTATCTTTCTGTGTCCTCATAACAGGAAAATAAGTAAGTCAATAGAAGGCAGATTGACAGAAGAAAAATACCAAATTAAATGTCATACATCCCAAAAGTGCCATAATGACCGTGCCGACTGAGTGGCCAGTTTGCAAAGCTTTCAGACAAGCAAGTAATAAATCTGTGATGAACAGACAGGCTAAAAAAGTTCTTGAAATTTTGTTTTGGATAACTAATACAGTGAGTTAGGCAGCATGTTTATGTAACTCCTCCTGTCTTTGACAACAGGCTGTCTCTCATATCGCTGTAGAGAGGGTTCCCATCGCATGGAATGACTCCCAGCTTCCAGGGGGAATAGAGAGGAGGAGGCTCAGAAAATTCCTGCTGTTAGGACTGTTTAATTCAGAGTAATCAGTATTCCACTCTGGCACATCCTAGGGGCCGTCCCACAAACTACGTAGAAATGTAAACCCATTTCCTCAAGGCTCACCAGTGACATTTCAGAAGTTCACAGTTCAGGCCCTCCCTAGTGGCACAAGGGGTTAAGTCTCAGCTCCATGAAGCTATCCGCAGCCACTGCAGCACCGTGGATCCCTGTCTTTGAGGGCACAGCAGACCTCTCTTGACCACCTGCTGCTCCCCTCAGCAGTGTGTTCCAGTCAATCAGCCTGTTCTGCTCCCCACTCTGTCTCTCCTGAATCCTCTCACGCCCTGCACCTCTGGCCTACACCCAGCTCTTGTATGCATAAATAAATAAATCTTTAAAAATAAAAAGTTCACAGTTCACTGGGTTAGTGGCCAGTGGGGCCAGCGGCCTCTGTGTGACTGCAGCTCGTAGGCCATCGGGCATAAAGTTCTGGGAACAGCAGTGTGAACCTTCCTACTCACAGGGTGTGAGCGTGGGCAGGGAACTTCCGAGCACTTAGGAGAAAAGTGAGTGGCAAATAATGAAAAATAGCTGCTGCCAGTTGTACCTCGTGTTCTTTTCATGGCAAAACACTTCTTGAAGTAAATTTCGGGGGGGATGGATTTGATGTTCTGTTGACGCAGCCTGTTAGGAGGTGTTTCTCAGTTTTCCCGTTCAGCCCCTTTTAGCTCATTGTCAGAGACACAGATGCCCCCTCCTTGGCCCAGGAATGGCTTCTTTTTGTCCCCACTCTGGAAGGTCTCTATGGGCAAAGTGTGAGATTAGAAACTTCCATGGCAATTTGTGACTTCTGAGTTAGTGGGAAAGAAAATTCTCTTTACTCTTGATTTGCCATTTGTGATTCTACTAAAAGAGAAAAAAGAGAAACCTTGTGTGACATGGGTGTCCTCACTGAGGTCTTTTTTATTTTTAGAGATATTTTTTATTTGTTTATGCATACAAAATCTGGGGTACAGGCCAGAGGTGGGGGTGGGGTATGTGAGAGGATTCCCCAGAGACAGAGTGGCGAGCAGAACAGGCAGGGCTTAAATACACTGCTGAGGGGAGCAGTAAGCGAGACAGGAGAGGTCTGCTGCGCCATGTGGGTCAGCTCCCTGGCCAGGATCATACTCGTGCCATAGTGGCTGGCGATAGCTTGAGTGCGCTGAGACTTTAGCCCCTGTGCCACCAGGGAGGCCCCCTAATGGAGGTCTTAGTGACCGAGCTGGGACTGAGTGAGGCAGCGGAGGTGTCCAGGGCACAGACTTAGGGAGACCGTTACACTTGGGTGCTGATCTTGTAGTTGTCTCCTTATCTTTCCCACCCTGGGGTCCTGGTTTGCCTCCCCTTGCTCTGTCCAGGCTGCTGCCCATGGGCCCATTCACCATTCCCTCTGACCTGCTCACTGCACATAGCCTGGAATTCCAGCCCTGTCCATCACGCGTCAGCAGCCTTGTACAGTGATGTACTGTCCTTCACCTCACCCTTCAGGTGGGGGCTGTCCCTCTTAGCTCCTTCTGTTAAGGGGAAGGATGTCCTAAAGGAACTCTGCAGAGTCTTATGGACTCCACCTCCTACTCCAGCTTTCTGGATCCTACACTTACTCCAGTGATTGGAAACTACAACTCCCAGCAGTACCCAGGAGAGAACTGCGAGGACCCAAGGGCGGGGCTAGCAGGAATTCTGGGACATTTGGGGGATAAATAGGACATGATTGCATCTCGGGCGCTCTCGCTGGGGAAGCAGCCCTCCTGACCACGTGGCTCAGAGTGTTCAGTCAGCCTAGCCTTAAGGTATTCCAGTTACTTTGTATTCCACGCTCTTTCCCTGGGTTGTTTCCTATTCCTTTCCCCTTTTGTAAATAACCCATTATTGACCCTTTTGTATGCAGTATAACTGAATTGTGAACACACTGGTGAGGCCCCACAGACAGGTGGCCCAGTCCATTCTGGGCTACCCTGTAACACTTCATCACCTGGTCCAGTCATACCCAGAGGTCAGCACAGTGAATGGAAAAGGCCCGATGACCTAGACTTTTCCGTGAATGGTTCAGAGACCCCTGCGTTCTCCCTCCACACTCAGCACAGCCCAGTTCCCTGTACAGGGATGCTGAGAGGCCTCTGACCAGCGTGGCGGTGGACAGCTCCATGGGGCTCTTGGATTCTGTCACTGTCAGCATCAGCCTGCAAAGCTCTAGAAAGCTCGGGCCCCCAGCATGGTTCTCGCTCCCTCCTCCTCGCCTCACGCCTGCTTCTGCCAGGCAGTTCCAGAAGCACATGGCTGGGCTTGGGGGTGCTCTGACTTGGGGAAGGTGTGGTGAAGAAGCAACTGCCTAGGACTGGCAGCTCCTTTGTGAAATCTGTGCTGCTACCTGCTTCTCCCTTCTGTCCCCACAGAGCGTGTTGAAGAAGCGGGACCAAGTGCAAGCTGAGTATGAAGCCAAACTGGAAGCGGTGGTTCTGAGAAAGGAAGACCGGCCCAAGGTCAGGGGCGCTTCCGGGACCCAGATGCATTCAAATACACCGCCCCGCGCCCCCAGGCTGGGCTGTCACGTTGCTCCTCTTTGCTCCCTTTTATGTCTCTGGTGCACTCCATATATGTACTTGGCCATGAGCTTTCTGCTATCTCCTAGGAACGCCACAGGTTGTTCCTTTTGCCATAAAAGCATGTTGTGGACAGAAGAGAACAACCTAGATCAGAGTTGGCAAAGTGGGGTTGGCCGACTGGCCCACAAGCTGTACCCAAGCCGTGTGAGGGAAGTGCTGACCGAGACGTGACACTCCTCAGCCACCCAGGATGAGTGCTGTCACGAGTGGCGGGCAGCAGGTGGGCACACTGCACGGTGGGGGGGTGCAGGAGGGTGTGATGCCAGCAAGAGGTGGTCCTTTCCCACAAAGTGTGAGAAGCAGCTTGGTTTGACGTGCGCAGCCCCAGCGCTCTGGGGCTAGATCAGGAAAACCATTGTTCAGTGTGCCAGTGGCTTGGTTTTGTTGCCTTTCTCTTCTCCCAGCCAGGACTCAAAAAAGAAGTCCTGTTAGCAGCAGTGTGGCAGTGCTGATGATGGGCTAGTAAGCACTTTATGTTACTCATTTAGTCTCTAGATCAGGCAGGTCCCCACCGGGGGTTGTTATGCCCCTTTGAGAGATGGACAACCCAGGCACTGAGCGCTGAGCTTGGGGACGCAAGGGCAGTATCGGGGTTACCCTCGCAACTCCCGTTAGGCAACCCCACTCCTTTATGTATTGAGAAGGTGTATTTGATTAGAAAAAGAGGTGAGTAGGGGCCCAGATTTCATGGCAAGAGCATACGAAGCGCTTATCTTCCTGGGCTGGGGCTCTGGCTGCCACCGAGCTGGGATCGACCTGGGGAGGAACCAGCTTTGGAAATGGGCAACCCAAGCCCAGATGCAGCATGCTGAGATGCTCTCCAATGCTCTTTATGTCAGAGGCGGCACAGGATCACCCAGAAGGCCCAGAGGGGGGCGCTGCGCCTCCCCATCCATGGGTGAGGAAACAGGCACAGAGGTTGCTGTCGCCTGCCCTGCTCTGTGGATGGCAGTGTTGTTATCCAGGGTCAGGGCACAGCGAGCAGATACTAAATGCATGTTTGTTGCATTGCTTCTGTGTCCCCCGTAGGGATGACCCCCAGAAAGCGGAGTCTGTGTGCATCTTAGGGAGCACGAGGCCGTGAGGATTAGGATTCCTGCCTTTCACCCCATGGCTGCAGCTGGGAAATGGCCAGAGGCGGGGGGGGGGGGGGGTGCTCCTTTTTGTCCTGTAGCTGGCTCCTGTGATATTCTAAGCTTATGTCTTGGTGTCATTTAAAGGAATGGCCTGGGATACTGTTTTCTAGATGTTAACATTTCATGCTAACCATATAGCTCCCAAATATAAATATAGCAGTCACTTTTCGTGGCTGGGTCAGGAAGGAGAGATAGCAGCAAGTTCTGCCGCTGGCCCACGCTGGAAGCTGAGGACCCAGAATTAAATCATTCTGTCAGGTCATACCTGCTCAGCATTGAATATAAGCTTTCTCAGAGGCCACTTTTGTCATTTTAATGTCTGCTCAGCCCTGTCCACAGTACCTTTCCAAAGACGGGAGCTGAGGTGATGAGTAACGGGCCAAGTTAAATCTTGTTGGGACCCGCATCCTCCTTGGAGCAGGCAGAGCAGAGGGGCCAGCTGTTTCTGGCTCCTGCTTTCCATGCAGCTGAACTTGGGGCTCCACCTCATGAACCTGGAGCTCTGCCCGATTTGTTGGTCTGGATAATGCTCCTCCTCCTCCCGGGAGATCTTCCTGCACCTGCTGTTCTCACCTCCATGAGCAGCACTTAACTCTTGGCCACGGAGCCATCCTGTGAGCCTCTGACATAAAAGAGTCCTCCCAGCCAGTGAGACTGACTTGTAGATTCCAAACCTGCCCACCCCCTGTGCACACCTGCCAAACAAATGCTTTCTGGCGGGGCACCACACCAGGCCAAAACTAATTTTGCTACATGTTTGGCAATTGTGACACTTCACAACCAAGTGTGACAGTGTGGTGCCGGCGATTGTGACCCAACAGTGCAGGCAGCAGAAACAGGGCAGCAGCCCATCCAGGTGGCCGCGGGTTAGTAGAAGGCCCCGGATTTACAGTCCGATCAAATCCCAGCAGGGACTGACGCACTCATTAACCTTTGTGGGATTCCTGCGGGTGGTGGTTGTGAGGTTGTAACGTGTCTGATGTGGTCACACACCCATGTGCAGCTTCCACTTCCTGCACTCTCTCTAATCACCTCGAGTGGGGATGCTGAGAACTTTGCTTTCTGGGTTTCTTGCCACTGAGGGCTTCTGTGTTGTCTGTTAAAGGTTTTTTCCTGGGCACACTTGTTTCCAGGTGGCCCTGCCTTCCTGCTTCTCCCAAATGCCCATCTTCCCTGGTAGCCTGCCAGCAGCGGGTAGACACCTATTTAGGACGTGAGTACTGAAGGATTTGCTGTGCTCCTTGTCAGTGGTTTTGAGGTCCGCTTTCCAGAACAGCTGCTAGTGAGATGCACGCCAGGTGTCAGGAGTGGGTCAGGGCTGATTCTACACCAAGCAGAGGTGGGATGGCCGAGGCCCATTGCAGGATGCGGGAAGCAACAGATTCCTGCCGGAAGGTGGGGTGTTCACAAGAAAATTGGAACTGGACACGTTAACAAGCCTGAGAAGCCTGTTTGGAGGTGCTGCTGTGCAGGCTCTGCTGAAGAGTGAAGGAGAATTGAGCATGAAACCATGGAGAGCTAGCAAAGGCTGCTGGCTTCCCTGGGGCCCTGAGCGTGAGCTTTGCTGTGAATTTTATGGTGGAGGGGACCCTCAGGGCAAAGAGGTGAGCTCTGTGGCAGTCTGCTGCTTCTCAGCATGTGCTCAGGGTCGGCACAGTCTGCTGCTTCTCAGCATGTGCTTAGGGTCGGCACTCTCGAGGCCCTGAGCTGAAGACAGTGTTCAGATCCTGGAGTTGAAAGTTTTGCTCTAAGTCATAGAAGCTCAGCAGACCCTGAGATGATTTCCCCCTGAGCTTTTGCCTGTCTTGGCTTTCCTCATTCTGAGTTTGCAGTTAGAGAGATGACAGGCACATGTAGGGGCTGCATCTGTCGGGCTCACAGCCTGTATAAGTCTCAGAATTTGATCCTAGAAGAACATCCGTGTTTTAGTCGATTCTGTATTTGACTCTTTTTAATGCTACTATATTCAAGTGTTAGTAGTTAAAAATAAGAATGAGTGCCCTCCCTGGGTGGCACAGCGGGTTAAAGCACTGAGAAGCTTAAGCCACTTCTGCATGAGTTCGATCCCCCGCCCAGGAGCTGACCCACATGACACGGCAGACCTCTCCTGAGCCGCCCGCTGCTCCCCTCAGCAGTGTACTTCATTGATCTGCCTGTTCTGCTCCCCGCTGTGTCTGAATCCTCTCACCGCCCCTGCACCTCTGGTCTGTACCCCAGCTCTGTATGCATAAATAAGTAAATCTTTAAACAAAAATAAGAATGAACAAAGAAGGGATGTCAAGAGAGAACTCTTTATAAAAATCTTCCAGTTATCACTATGGTGATGGCACATGGGTGATTTGGTGATGGGAAAGCCAAGGGGATTGCAACTCAGTTAGAAAAATGTACAAAAATATGTAAAAATAAACTTATATAATAAAAAAAAAAGGCAAAAAAAAAATCTTCCAGTTATCTTTAAAAGGTAGAAAGGAGGGTGGCTGTTTTAGGCCCTGAACCTGGTGGCCTTGTACTGAGTTCAGTGTTGGCTGCAAAGGCTGTCAGGCACTTGTGTCACTGTGGAGTGAGGAGGTGTGTGGCTTGAAGGTAGTGGGGGCAGGGAGTGACTGTCCTGGGCTGTGGCTTCTCAGCTGAACAGTGGGGATGGGATGAAGATGGTGGGTCACTTGAAAAAAGCTCTTGAAGAAGGCTGTGAGCCTTTGAAAGCCCCATGCCTCCAGAATGACCAACATCCTGGAATGGAGAAGATTTAGTGAGTAGAAGGAACTGATCTTAAGGGCAGAAGTGGATGTAAGATTTCTTAGTGTGGAGTTCCCAGTGAAGTAAGGGCTTCTGTTGTTTGCAGACACTCATGGCAAGTGAGGACACATTGTGTTTTGCCAGTTTTCTCCACCGCAGCCCTTATCTCAGCTGGGGTGAGAAAACCAGAATCACGAGGTAGAGGTCACATCCCTCATCAACCACACACGTGGTTCCTGAGCCTTTCTCCCCTAAGTATTGGGACCGGGTCTGCCTTACACAGTCATGGGGGGCTTCATCAACCTACTGTCTTCCTGAGGCCAGTGACATGGCATCTCCAGCCCAGCTCCAAGGAGGAAACCAAGGCAGAAATTTATATTGTCGGAACAGCACATGGAAAGCACACAATGGTCCATTTTAAACGAATGGTTAGTGAGTTACATTAGCACCCTGCTCCCCAGTACACAACATGCCTAATCTCGTCCCCCATGACCCACCAGCGCCAGCAGCCCGTGTTTTATCCTGATGTTCTCCTGAGAGATAGGACAGCCAGTGTGAAAAATGCAACCTTCCAGTTAGGAGTTTTTGTTTTCTGGAGCCTTATCTGGCGATTTTTTCCCTTTTTGGTGTCTTGTGACAATCGGCCCCTGGTCATTAGCACTGGATATTCCCAACTCCTTGTCCTTCAGATACATGGTAATGTGGCTTGCACAGTACCTCAGACAGAAAACTAGGACATGGAGATAAGAAGGGGTGCTAGCTGGTGCTGGCCAGCGAATCGGTTTCATAAAGACAGCATCGAAAAAGAAACAAGTGGCAAGAAGGAGCCCGAGTGTGTGCTGCCAGTCTGCCTCCTCTCCACAGTCGGCAGCTCCAGTGACTGGCTCACGCAGGCGCTTCACCCCACTTCCTTTTTTTCTTGTCTTTTTAAGCTTTGCCTCTCATTCCTCTTCTAGCCCCCCGTATCTCTGGGATTCTGTGGCTTAGCTCTTCTGATTGACTTCCTGCTCTGTGCCCACCTGTTGAGCTGAGATGTGCTGACTCCTTCACTAACTCTACCAACATAGACCTCTCTGTGACTTCTACCCTTCAACCCTTCCCTCCTCGGCCCCCTCCTTCATTCCTTATGTAATTAAAAAAGTTAAATTATGGCAACATACACATACTTGAACATCTAAATCTTTTTCTAAGTATTCAGTTCAGGGTTAAGTAAATTCACATTATTGTGCAACCAACTTCTAGAATGTTTTTCCTCTTGAAGAACTGAAACTCTACCCATTACACAGGAACTCTGTATTCCTTCCTTCCTCTGGCACCTAGTGACTACCATATTACTTTCTGTTTGTATGAATTTGACTACGGGGATATGTGGAACCATGCTGTATTTGTCATTTTGTGACTCAGCTCTTTTATGAATGAACCATGATAGCAAGGTTCACTCAGGTTGAGCATGTGTCTGAATTTCCTTCCTTTTAACCGCTTTATAATATTCCATTATGTGTGTATCCTGCTTTTGGTTTGTCCATTATCACCTGTGGACAGACACATAAGTTGCTTCCTCCTTTTGTCTATTGTGAATAATACTGCTATGAGCATAGATGTACACATATCTTTTTGAAACTCTATTTTCAATTCTTCAGGGTGTATATCCCAAAGCAGAAATTGCTGAATCCTTTGATAATTCTATTTTTTATTGAGAAACTACTAGACCATATTCCACAGTTGCATCATTTTACATCATTTTATACCCACCATAGTGTGCGTGTAAAAGGAGAAGGCTCCAGTTTCCTGCCTTCTCACCAACACCTGTTACTCCCTGGTTTGGGGTGTGGGGTGGTTTCTCATGTAGGTTTGGTTTGCATTTCCCTGACAATTAGTGACATGAGGCAGCTTTTCATTTGCTTCTTCAGAGAAATGTCTTCTCAAGGCCTTTACTCATTTTAAAATCATGTGATTGGTTTTGTTGTTGAGATGTTTCAAACCTACAAGTGGAAGGAGGTCTCACCTCTGCCCAGCTGCAGCTACCTCCTGTCTGGGCTATGGACCTTTTCCCTGAGCCCTGGTGACTTGTGGGCCCTGAGTGCCCAGTCTAGAAGCTTCCAGCTCTTCTCCATCATCCTGTATCTTTCTTCTCACGTATAACTGGTTGCCTGATGTGTCAGTCTGGCTCCATCAGGATGATCTAATCTTCCTTCTGGTGTCTCTTGCATCTCCCTGATACCAGGGTGCCCAGGATGCCCTCAATGCCAATAGAAATTGGTGTTGAGTCTCTCTGATTCTCATAAAAATCTTGGGCTTCCCATGGTAGCCTAGAGGTAAAAGGTAGCATTAAAGCTCAAGATAACCTATTTTAATAATAGTTTATAATTTGGAAAATTTTTAAAAATGTCTTTTTATAAGACATGGACTAAAGCTCAAACTATTTTTGACTTGAGGGACTGCAAGTGACTCTTGATTAATGATTTATAGTACTAATATTGATAAGAGCTAAGAAATAATTGTTGAGTTCTTAATATATGTTACATACCACATGTTTTGTGCATCTTATATCATTTAACCTAAAAATACCTCATAAGGTGGACAGTGCTATGCAGAAGAAGGCCGAGTGTACACAGACATTTTTAGGTATAGACAGACTTCAGAAGGAACCAAAGGTCTAGAGCTCTAAATTATGGTGTTTCTTCTTTGTGTTTGTATACTGGGGCTATTTCCCCATGCGCTTCTGTTGTGCTAGGGTGGGTTTGAAGATTTGGGCCAGGATAGCTTTTTTTTGGAATTCCTTTTTATTATTTTTTAAAGATTTTATTTATGCTTACAGAACTGGGGTACAGGCCAGAGATCTGGTAGATGAGAAGAATCACCAGAGACAGAGTGGGGAGCAGAACAGGCAGATCTACTGAAATACACTGGGGAGAAGCAGCGTGCAAGACAGGAGAGGTCTGCTGTGCCATGTCAGCTCCCTGGCCGGGGATCGAACTTGTGCTGCAGTGGGTTCGTAGGGCTTCATAATGTGGTGCTTTAACCCATTGCGCCACCAGGGAGAGCCCCGGAATTCCTTTTTAGATTGAAATCCTAACTGCCTTCAAGTAAATGCTTCCAGAGGGGAGAGTATGTTTACGGCATTTAATGAGGCCCATGGCTTTCTACCAACGTGCAGAGAAGCATCAACACATGACAGAAGTTTCGTGTACAAAGCACGCATTTCTGGTTCCACTTGCAGGTGCCTGCAGATGTCGAGAAATGTCAGGACCGGATGGAGTGTTTCAACGCTGACCTGAAGGCTGACATGGAGCGGTGGCAGAACAACAAGAGGCAGGACTTCCGGCAGCTGCTCATGGGGATGGCAGACAAGAACATCCAGTATTATGAGAAGGTAATGAGCCTGCGGTTGGGACCACAGCCCTGCCGTCTAGGCCGCCTTTGTGAGAGCTGGGCCTTAAGCAAGGCCGCTGGGAAGCTGCAGGTGGGGCCTGGCCAAGCCACAGCCACCCTGTTCATTTTTACTTAGCGGCCCTTGCACATCCTTGCCCTGCTGTGCAGAAGCCGGCTGGGTCTGGCAGCAGCGGCCTCCAGGTGCCACTGAGGCTTCCCTGCACACACCCTGCTCACCAGATGCCTGTGGGTCCCGGCGGCGAGCTGCTGCCAGAGTCTGTCTGGCCTGCAGCCACAGCTGCTGGCTGTGACCCTGCATCCAGGGCCCTTTCCCTGCGCTGTGCCATGGGGTCCCTCTGTCACCTGGTAAAACCTAAGGGCCCGTGGCCAAAATACAGTTGGCTTAAAATTCAAGAAAAAAATCTTAAAGTGCTATTTGTGAATACCTGAACTACAGGTATGTAGGATTGCCAAGGAAAACTACTGAAAACAGCTGTATTCACAAATGGCCTTGATTTACGGGCATCAGGTTAGACACCCTGAGGCGCTAGGCCAGCGCAGACAAGGTTTGCTCCTAGAATGCACAGCTCCAGATCATTTCTGCTGGTGCATCTTGATAGTCCTGACCATAGTTCAACAGACAGACTTGCTTCATTCAGCGATTCCCTACCCAGCTAGAAGAATTCCTCTTTTTCAGAGGCGAAGGTGGCCCTGGCCGCTGAAGGGGCCCGTGTGTCCACACCTTCATTTAGAGGAGGGCTGAGGAAGCAGTCGGGGCCTGGCCTTCTTTCACCAGGCCTTAGAAAGGACCTTTTGAGAAGGGGGAGAGAGGGTGGCTGACTGCTTTTCTTGGTGCCATTTTGATGGAGCCCCTGTGGTGTGTCCAGCTGGCCCAGGCAGGGTGCAGAGGCCATCTCATTCAACCCTCACCAGAATACTGTCTGGCCAGTGGGTTTTATGACTCGGAAGCAGCAACTGAGCAAGGTCTGCTCACGGTTAGCCAGATTGTGAGTGACTGAACTCACAGGACTTGGTCTGCCCTGTCCAGTCTAAATGTCCCTCTCTGACACACCACTGGCGTGGGGACAGGGGCTGGTCCCCAGCAGCCCTGACTGTGCCAGGTGGAAGGGCCCCCTTGTGCCCCTCAGGTAAGGCCTCTCTGAACACAGTTGCCCTGTCTCTTACCAAAGGCAGCAGTGTCTCCATGCGCCTAAGTGCCCTGTCCATAAAGGTCCCACCCTTCAGGGTCCTTCCAGTGGGACGTCCTTCCCTGCTGTTGTGGACTTAGTGAAGCAGCGGGCACCCGGGTACCCAGCACACACTGGCACGTGGGCACTCAGTGAATGCAGCTCTCTTCTCTGATCCCTTTGCCCTCCCTCTGCTCTTCCGCAGTCTCCCCAAAAGCCCAAACCCGACTTGGTCACATGCGTTCCTCACTCCTCTTGGTGACTGATCCCACTGTCCCCTGTCCCAGGACTCAAACCCAAGCCATGTATTGATGGTCACTGTGTGCAGGCCACTGTCTTGTCAACTCTCCTTTGCGCATCATCCATGAAGGCTCCGTTCATGGTGACCCAGCAGGACGGCGGGTGAAAGGGTGGGACAGATCAAGAAGCTGAAATCTGCACCTCGGTGCTGACACGGTGTGTGTGTGTTGTCATTCCAGTGCCTCATGGCGTGGGAGTCTGTTATTCCACTGCTGCAGGAGAAGCAAGAGGCCAAGTAAGTTCCTTCTTGGGACAGAGACTCTTCTACTTACTACATGGGGTACAGCACCCCACACCGGAATGTCCCTGCTGTGCCACGGGTGGCACACTGGGAAGACAACCACAGAAACATCTCTCCTTTGCGTATTTTTTTCTCCCCCTCCCCTTCCTTTGTCCGACAGTTATTTTCAACTAGTATTTATTCCTGGGTGGGTCTGTAAGGCTATAATCATCTCTCAGCAAAAGAAGCATACCTCCATGTTGTGAAGGAGCCTGATGGAACACTATGACGATTCAAGACCCGGGGACCAAACCACCCTCAGGGACATTCTGCCCTCTCATGCCAGTCTGCTCTTCGGGACGTTGAGCTGCCTGTTGTGGGAGAGAGCCCGGACCCGCCTACACAGCAGCTCTTGCTTTCTTTGGCTCCCTGGTGGCTCTGGAATTGCCCTCAACGGGCACTGACTTGTCTCAGCCTAGAAGGAGGTTGGCACCTCTGTGCAACGTCCTTAATGTTCAGTGGCCTGTAACCAGTGAGCGTGGCCTGCCGCCTGCTTGCGACAAGGACACCTGTTTATGGTTTCTGGTTCAGACCATGCCGTTTTAATCCCTGCCAAGGCAGCGCGAGCAGGCCAGCCTTTTTGTCCTTATGCCTTGGGGAGCTGTGGGAGGGTTACTCCCTGGCCCCCCAAACATGTTTCTGACACTAGAATGCAGTAGATTGCAAACTGTCTTTGTGTAAAATGAAAAAAAAAAAAAGGTGCATTTTTTTCTCTGTGAAGTTCTTCAATGTTTTTCTTTGGCTTGTCAGATGTCATCAGACTAGGCTCGTCAAGGAGTGTCTGTGGTCTGGGTCAGCAGCACCCCGGTTGTTGAGACCGGTGGGCATGTACCAAACCTATCTCTGTCGTCTGCTTTGTGCAATTTGCCTTTACCTCACCAAAAATTCTAGCTTAATGTTTCCTGTGACGTCCACTGAGTGTATGGGCAGCTTGTTGGTGAGAGGCTAGTATGTTGTTACGACACCGTCAAGATTGGTAAAGTCAGTGTGAATGTTCCACATAAAGTGCTTTAAGTATTTCCTGGTCCGGAGGAAAGGTCAGCACCTGCACGGGCCTGCCGGGTGTCAGAGGCAGCCGCTCTTGGCTGCTGGCTAAGCTGGAAGCGTCGATCTGCGGCCTAACTCCTGAGGGCTGCTGGCTGCAGCTAACGTCTGCATGTCAAACTATGACCAGGTTTACTTTTCAAATCAACACAGACCAGGTAGGCCAAAAGGATCTGTCTTCTGGCTCATTTCTTCCCTCCCGAAGTAAAGCTACATGTAACTAATGGCCCTTCATCAGTTGCCATGCCCATAGAATCGTGTGGGGTGGGTTAATGGAACGGCCGTGCTGAGGTATCTGTCAGCAGGCCGCATGTGGAGGCCCTTGATACCCCTTCTGACCATAGACTTAACCTTGCATTAGCTACAGCTGGGAGGTTGATAAGTGGATGGTACAGAACAGTTTGGCTCTATTTTACCATCTCTGAAAAAGTTGCAGTTTAAAACATAACCTTGATAACAATCGGTACTGTTAGACCCCATCTGCAGCATCCAAATCCATTGATGTGCATTTTCAGTGTGGTACAATTAGAAATGTTTCACTAGGCAGAAGGGTAGGGACAGTCCCTCTGCCCCGAGGGACGAGTCAGTGTTTCATTCTACCTCTACATCGTGTTGGTGTGGGTCTAGATATGTGGTCCAGCCTGACAGAATCGGGGTGTGTCTAATACTGGGTTGATGGCTTTCTCGATACCTGGCAGAAGACCGGACTAATCCAGCAGCAAATACTCACCTTTCGTCAGGTGTGAAGCTTTGCCTTGTGGAAATGTGTTTTTAAAACGTCAGCATAAAGAATGCTGGGACCAGCGCCGGGGAGGGTACAGCAAAACCAGCATCTGTTGCTCATTGCAGCAAAGTCCAGGGGAAATCCAGGGACTTTTCCATGGAAGCATTAGCTGGGAAAGAAGGCAGCCTTTCAAAAAAAGTAAAAAAAAACAAAAAACCATCAAGTTCCATATGGAGAGGACACTGGGAGGCAGTCATTCACCCTCATTGTTGAAAGGATCTCTTGGGAATTTCTCTCTTTGCTTGGTCCTATGTGCCCTTCCTGTGCTTTAAGACACCAGAGAGAGAGATCACACTGAGCAAGGCAACTGGTCCCCAGCATTGGTAGCGGAGCTGGGAAGCAAGTGAATGGTACAGATTTCCTTGGAAAAAATGATCTTTCTAGAGAAGAGACTCTTGTCCCTTTCTTGACTGGTGTCTGAGGAGGGGAGGAGGCTGACCCAGAGGAAGGGACCTGTAATCCTCAAGGAGGCGCTTCAACCCCTCCCACCGCAAGGTGCCCTCCATCCCCTTGGGGGCTGGCAGCCCCAAGCCTTCACCTCTTCATGGATCAGCATAAAGGTGGTTCCCTATGAGAAGGTTAACTCAGAGACTTCTGTGCCAAAGAGGCCTCCCAGAGGCTTCCTCACCCTGTCCTTCTTGGCTCCGCAGAGTGGAGCTGCTGAGATCACCGGCTTCTCCCTAGTTTTTTATTTTCCAGATGTTGGCCTGGGGACACACCTGGCCTGGGCAGACAGACATAGACAGGTTTTGAGACTCAAGACTTAGCAGTCTTCGTGAATGTCATCCCTTCAACTGTCCCCGGGGACCTGGGGAGTGAAAGGCTTCATTCGGCCAGTTTTTAAAAAGCCAGGCGAGGGCTGAGGAGAGTTCTTAGAAACACAAAGATGCGAACGGCCCTGAAGAACGCTTGTGCGGATCTGAGCAGGTGAGCTCATGCCGCTCCTGGTCACACACTCCTGCCTCCCTTGGAAGGAGGAGCTGTTCAGTGAAGGGAGCAGGGAATCTGCTCCACAGCCTGGCTTGGGTTGGGTTTTATCCTTTAATATGGCTTCAGAGTGATTCCTGGTGAACTCAGGTCAAAGCGATTATGGAGGCCGTTGGCTCGTATTTCCTGGTGCTGCTGGTTGGCCTCACCAGGCACCTTTCTTGAACTGAAAAACAAAAACCAGCATGACTCCAGGGATCCTGGTGAATGAAACAGAAGCTTGTCTTGCCAAATCTCAGCCACACCCGGAGGGCGCTGCCATGTTGATAGGAATATGTTTTTCAGTTGCCATCTACATGAAGAAATTGAGTGCACACTTACTCCTTGTTTCTGGTGAGGCTGCCTCTAGTGATGGGACCACAGAAAGTCCTGCTTTAGGGAGGGCTTGATGGCTGAGCCACCGTCTGCAAGGGGGCTTCTCTCTCGGATGACATCAGCTTCAGAACGCCCAGAGTTCAATTGTGTTGGCCCTGCATTGCAGCTTTGACGCCGTGGGCTCTCTGGCTTGGCACCATTCATCAGACTGCAGAATAATCATCCCTTGTGCTTTATTCCAAGCTGCTGAGGCAGACACCAGCCAGGCCCAAGGCCTGTGTAGCCACATCTGTTTGGGTCTTGCGGTAGAGAGGCCTGGCCCTGTTCTGTCTCCCCTAAACAGTGCTTCTGCTCAGAAGGTGGGCCGCTTGTGGTCAGGGCAGGACACCCGAGTTCTGGACCCCACCTTAGACACATACTTTCAAGGTGTGTGGAAACTGGGTAACCTAATGAGAAGACTGGGGTAACACGTTGGAGCCACCCTCATTTACAAAACGATGCTGGGAATTTGGGTTGGCCGCCTACTTTCAAATGTCCACAGAGAGATCCCAGTGGAGACACGCCCGCGAACTTCTTAGGCACGCTCTTTTCAGAGGGCAGGTGGCGCTTAGCAGTACATTTGAAGAAAATTCATCCCTTGAGCCAGGTTTACAGATGGCGCTGGGTGTGTTGGAACTCTATTCCTTGTGGTTTTTGATGTTCAGTGAAAAGCCCAGGAACCTGATTTTCCATCAGCCCTCCCTGGAGCTGGTTTGTTTTTTTCGTCTGAAGGACCCCTGCTCTTTTCCGAGGCACACAGACTGCAACACCCACAGAACCCTCTAGGCTAGCAGGAGAGGGCTTAGTTGCAAAGGATTTGGCTGATCACCCTTAACCACTCATGTTTGAAATGCATTCCAGGTACGGCTATCTAATCCATTTGTGTGGCAGAGATTTTGTTATCCAGGTAATGATTACTGCTATAGATAGCCTGTAAATAAATACTTTGAAAGAAATGACTTTAACAAATCCACAAGAGACTTGGTTTGTTTAGCATCCTGTGTATTTTAACACTTGAAATCCAACAAATTCAGACTTTAAAATGTCACAGACTGTTAAAAGCCTAACTCGACCCTGAGATTTGTTCAACACCTATCAAAATACGCCTTACTCTTCAACGAGTGTTTTTTCGATTCTGGACAGAAAGTTTTCAGAAAGGAGTTCAGTCGTTCAGCTTACATGGTAAGATTTGACACAGGCAGTTCTCAGTCCTCTTCAGGAAAGACACAAGAACGTGAGGATCAGAATTAGGGATGCCTTTTGGGAGGAGAAAGCTGAGGACTGCTATTGCCAAATGCTATTTTTGATAATGTGAGGCAAACACAGGGACCCCGAAGTGTGTTTGGTTTGTCTGCCTTGAAGTGTGAAAGATGAACCCAGTAACTTCTGGCACAGGGCAACTGTAGAGGGCATGCAGAATCAGCGTCGGCAGCTCACACAGACACAAAGAATTCTGTAGGTTAGGCCCTGAGTAAAAGGTGTTCCCCGATCCCACAGAACAGCTTTATAAAAGATGCTGTGGGGACTCAGAGCAGCTTGTTTCAAACAGAAATTCTCCACAGGTCAAAGTAAATGCCAAAAACAAAACATACTGTATTGACTGAACAGAATTGTGTCCATTTTAACAGAGCCTTTAAGATGAGACCAGTGATTGTGTGTTGCACACATTCTTCCCACATCTACCCAGTCCCTACCAGGCGATACCGGGCTCCCTGTAGGCTGGTCAGAGCTGGTGACACCTGTTCACACCTGTTATGCCCCTGTTTGGCAGGCTGGTTTAGTTTCAGGCCAACCCTGTAGTCACAAATGATCCTGGGAGGATCATTTCCACTCTCCAGCGTGGAAATGGGGAGAGGAAGGTAGATTTCAAACAAAAATGTGAAATGTTATGATGAAGTGACAGCTGTGGAGCCAGGCCTTCATCAGATAACTAACCAGCAGCTCGCACGTGGCATGCTCACCTGGCCCTGAGTCCCGGCCTGTCCAGTAGACGCCCTTCCCCTGGTCCCGTGTGCCTGGTCCCCTGATGTCCTGGAGCTGGGAATGCCTTGAGAGATTATGTGCATCTGATATATTCCCATGAAGTCAACTGCCAGCAAACTTTCTAACTTGTATTTTAACAGTTGAAGAAGAGATTTAAAAACTTTTGCTTAAGTCATGTCCAAAGGATGGACTGTGCTTCTTATTTTTAGAAATCATTCTTTACATTTAAAATTTAAAACCCTCTGAGGTATGGATCAAGTCCTCCGTGTTCTCTATGTTGCCATTAAGCCAAATCAAAAGCTGTGAAAAAAAAAAAGTGTTCCCCAATGCGTGACCTGAGACGTGATTTACTTCCAATGGAGTCTTTGTTTTGTGATGCTACAAACTTCAAAAAGAATGTTACCTTCTTTCCCCTTGTTATGGAGCCCAGAGATTGTAAAGAGACAAAAAAAAAAGTTTCTGTTGCATTTTGACGCTGGCACAAGGTTTTTGTCCACTTTTTTTCATATATCTGTGTATAAAAACTTCTGTTCATTGTTTACTATGGGATTAGTATTACATTTTGAGGTAAATAAAAGAATTTGTATTGCTTGATAAACTATTAGCTTGTAAATTTGTAACGGTTTCTTTACCTCAATTAACTTAAAGGAATGGTCCAATAAACCTATAAAAGATGCTTTCTTTATCATGTGTGATGTCCTCATTTGTACTATTTCATGGGCAGGAAAAGCAGCTTGCCTTTTATTCCTATTTACTCTAAAGTGGTATCAGTTTGCCCACAAGAACAAGGATATACAAAGCAACTTGGAAAAATACATAATTGCATGGCTTTAATACTTTTTTGGAGCGAGTCCCGTGTTACCCTCCCATCTGACAAGCTGGCACAACTTGGGGAGATGAAGGAACTAGCTGGTGTCCTTGCATGATCATCTGGCTGGCACCAGCCCAGAGGGCTTCTTCCTAGACTATCCCAGAGCAAAGCACAGCATCCAGTCCAGTATTTCCTGACTTTCTGTCTTTTGCACTGCTATGAAGAAAGACACATCATGGCTGGTCAGAGTGTCTTGCAAACTACAGGCCAGATTCCTTGTTAAACTTACCTGATCGTAACAATGGACAGGAAACGGACTTAAATCAGTCAGGAGCTCGGCTTGTTGATAGAGGATATCTTTAATAGAAGCCTTATATAAAAAGGCAGCAAGGTGGGATGTGGGGGAGAGAGAGAGGCTTAGGATCAAATCTCAGCTTTCTACTTACCTAGCTACGTAGTTTGGAGAAAGTCACAGCTCTTGAGCTCAGCATTACATCTTTGAAATGAGGACACCCTTGCTGCTGAGAGAACTAGCAATAGTCTGGGTGTCTGCAGGTGACAGGCCCTTTGAGAAAACTCCACCTATGACTTGTTTAAATGTGGCCAACTTGAATGTGGAGGCATCTTCCGTAACAATCCTTCCTGGTGCTTTGTCATGAAGACTTGAAACTGCCCGTCATGGTTACCCATAGACACGAGGTAGTTCCTTCTGTAAGACGTTGGGGAGGACACACTGAGGATGGGCCTGTGGAGAAGCAAAGACTGAAAATTATAATCTACCTGGTAGGCTTTTCTTTTTAAGAAGAGGATGGAGCTAGTGTGCTGTCTGTGGTTAGACCACCTGAGTAGATGGCCAAAGTGACGGGAAGGAGTTGGTGCTGGAGTTTCTGTGGGGAGGGGGAGGTCAGAAAGGACATGGAGATTTCCAGCCTGGGAGCTGGGAGGTGAGGCCATTGACAGAGAAAGGAAATCAGGCAGGAGAAAAGTACAAAATACAGAAGGGAGGGGGGAGGCTTAGCTGATGGGTGGGGAGAAGAACAGTTTGCTTTGGGTTTATGTTGGAGGGAACTGGGTGAGGATATTGACTAGAAAAGAGTTTATTGTTAGAGAATTCTGGAGTCTTCCCGAGCAGACTCCTTAGGAAGGTTGGGTTTCTGGGGCCTCAAGAATTAAGTGTGCTCGGGGAGGAGGAGCCAGACTCAGCTTAAGGTCTTCAAATAGCCAGCCCCAGAAGATTAGGGTACAGGATCTTCATACTTGGGGCAAAGAAAGCACTGATGGTTGCCCTGGGTTTGAGTTGGGTGGGGCCCTCCGTACCTCTTACACTGATGCTCTGGCCCAGGAGCCACACTTGAGAATCCCCGGGTTAGAACATTGAGTGACTTGGTGAGAGGAGAAAAGTTTGGAAACTGCTGACCTGAGACCTTTAAGGTTAGGAGCCAATAGGAAGCCCAACTCAAGTGAGACCTGCAGGAGGCTGGCAGGGTCATCGTGGACAAGAGGACATTTTTTTTTTAAGATTTATTTATTTGTTCATACAGAACTGGGGTACAGGCCAGAGGCTCAGGGGCGGCAAGAGGCTTCACCAGAGACAGAGTGGGGTCAACGAAATACACTGCTGAGGGGAGCAGCGGGTGGGTCAGGAGAGGTCTGCCACGCCATGTGGTCACCTCCGGGGCAGGCGGGGATCGAACTCATGTGGAAGTGGCTTTAGCTTCTTTGTGCTGTGCTTTAACCCGCTGCGCCACCAGGGAGGGCCCAAGAGGACATTTCTTTAGCCGTTGAAAGCCAGCTTCCCGGAGCAGGAGTGGAAAGTCAGTGATGGAATTCACTGTGGATCGTGACCTGGGCAGGGGCTGGGTGGGGCCCAGGGGTCAGGAGGAGGGAGCAAACCACCACGGCTCTCGATGCCTCTCTGAGAAGAGGCCACATCTTCTACAGAAGACAAAGGCACTGCCTATTGTCTAGATGTAACCATGATGGCTTAAAATTTTTTAGGACAACATCCAGGAAGGATTGTTATGGGAAGAGCCGTCATCTTTAAATCGGCCACATTTAGGCATCATTCCCAGTTGCCTGAACTCCAAATCTGAGTCATTCCTGCGTCTGAACGTCCACCTGCCTCACCCTCGACAGTCGGCCCATCCCCGGCTGCGGCTGACAGCTAGCCTCCAATATCTCTCCAAGTGGCTGTGCTCTCCTCCACCCCCATTGCTTCTAGGCACTGCCAGCCCCCTCCTCCGCCCACCCCACCACTGCTGACCCCCTCAGGCCAGTCTCCCTCCGCCCTCCGCCTCCCACCAACTCAGCCTCCCGGCGGCTGGAGCGCCTCTTCGGAGATGCGATGCAAATACTCCATGTCCTCCAGAAAGCCTGTCAGCAGCGCTTATGTTGCTCTTGTGACTCCTGTCTCCTCTCACCGCTCTATCTCCCTGATACACCCCATCCCCCTTGGGCCCCTTCACAATGAGCTCCGGTATCTTGGAATATTTCATCTCCAACCTCCCATTTATTCTTTCTGCCTGGAAGGAGCCCTGGTTCTGGTCTCCTGGGAAGCCCTCCCTGCTGTCCCGTCCCCTCTGCTGCACCCACTAGACAGTGTCCCCAGCAGGGCAGTGCGATAGCAGCAGGCTGGCAGATGTCAGCACTTACAAGTGCTGGACCTTACTCCGTGTGCCTTTCCTGCCGAGGGAACCCACAGCTGGGATCTCAGTGCATTCGCTAGCTCCATGTGGTGCCCACTGTCAGAACTAGTTATAGAGGGGATCTGACCTGGGGAAGAAAGAGTCGCACACTGCTATGAATGTGGATTTTATTAAGAAGCGAATCTGCTCTTCTATATGTAAGTACAGTGGGCTGTAAAAATAAGTACTGCAAAACCAAGTGGCTCTTAGCATCCCTCTTCCCCTCTCCCTTTACAACACTCGCTTCAATCGTCCACTGAACGAAGTCTTTGGAATTTGCTTTTTAAAAAACAACAAAAATGACCCCCAAGCCAAGCGCCTGAACTCCTGACTCCCTGCCACAAGAGCTTGGGAAAGAAAGCAAACTTTTTCCTTCAAGGTTTTATTTTAATGTACAAAATATGGCTGATGTGCAGGGTTGGCAGGTTTTTCGAAACCTCCCCTTGGGCTGCTGGAAATAGGGGCTTTGGTTTGGAGAAGACGAGAAGTTGAGCTGCCACAGGCCTTGGGATCCATGGCCAGACCTCTGGGCTCCTAAAAGCGGCTGGTGCTCACACGGAGGGACCTCTCACGGCCCCTGTGACTAATCAGCCACGCCTGGGTGCCCTCAAAGACGGCTCCTGGAAGAGAAGGGGCCGCTGTCTGAAGCCCCTTCCAGTGTCTAGTGTGGCTGCATGTGTAGCTGGTGTCACCCTTGAGTTTGGTGCTCATGTTGCAGAATATAGTCTCTACCTAACAGGGCATCTGAAAGTTGAGAAAGTTCTTCTATCACCAGGAAAGTACTGTTCCCCACCCCCACCCCCAGATACCCCTGAACCATGGTAGGTGAACTCTGGAACTCAAGTGTCTTGGTAGTGGGGTACTTTGATTGCCAGTCCCGGCCCTTCGTCGGTCTTCTCAGGGCCCAGCCATCGCTGGTATGTCCAGCGCTCTGGGTCGGCACCTTCATTTCTCTGTGATGTCTCCATACTGCGACCACGAGGCTTGCTTATAGGCCCCTATGCTGTAAGAATATTCAACATAGAGAACTGTAAGAGGATGGTTGGGGCAGAGGCGTGTCATTTCCTGGCCACTGAGGGTGAGGTCACTAGCCACGTCCTCATCATTGCTACACTAGAGGCTCCATGCAGTGGGAAGACATGCCCAGGGGAGCTTCTCTCACGTCAGGATCGTTCCCCAACACAGTGAGTGCTTTGCATCTACCTACTGCTTTTCCTGGAAACTTTCCATATCACCCCTACCTGGTGATAAGCTCCCATATGCATCTCAGGGTCAAGATTTTTCTAATCCCAAGCAGAATTAGCTGCCTCATCTCTGCCTTTCCATAGCCCTTTATCTCCTCCATCGATCATATTGTTCCAAAACGTGTATAGATACATGGGTGCATGGGAACAAGAAGCTCTGTGCTGAAGTATCAGGTCTGCATGACCTTGGCCAGTCCTGCAGTCTCAGGGATCCTGGGTGTTCTCATTGTTTGATTCCCAGGAACCAGTGTGCTCAGTTGGAGCCCAGCAATTCCTGACTGCCAACTGGCACCTGGCGCTGCTGGAGGGTGGGAGCTTCAACCCAGCCCTCCTCAGGGAAAGTTCTGTGGAAACCTGCACTGATTTTCCACCTGCCCAGGTTCTACAGGACTCTAACAGGAAAGGAATTTTACCATACCTAAAATCAAACCCGCTTTATTACATAGCTGGCATGAGGGGAGTTCAGTCTTGGAGTCCTCTGGCCAGGACCCTGGGAGCTGGGGTTGCAGCCCTGAGTCTCAGCTACCCCAGGGAGAACCACATGCGCAGCTGGCCCCTGACTTCATAGCTACTTGTAGGCAGCTCTAGGGGATGGTGTGGGGGTAGCAGGGACCCCGGTTAGCTGCCACACTCTCCTGATAGATCCCTCACTCGTTAAACAAATGCCTTTGTTCCTTCTTAAGTATGTGGTGTTCTTGCCCCTCTGACTGTGACATAAGCATCTGGAACAATATCACTAAATGATCGCAGCTGTCAGGAAGGAAGCCTGGGTGCATGGGTAGAAGGCACTCATTTGGGTTGAGAAGGGTTTTCTTAAATCCCTGGAGAAGGAGTGTCCAAGAACACAACTGGTGATGGGAGCGTAGCAGGAAGAACGTGCGGGAGGCTAGGCCTAGAGCGGAGGGCGCAGAGTGCAGGAGGCTGGAGAGGTTGGCAGGGTGGCTGGTCCCACGTGAAACATCTGGGTTTTCTCCTAAGAGCATTGAAAGCCAAAGGCAGAGCTTTGAGCAGGAAACGAAGAGACCAGATTTAATCATTTAGTAAATTCCCTGGCTCCAGGGGATCAAGAGCTGCCATGGGGGAGGGGGGGTTCGAGGAGGTGAATTCAGTGGGTCACTGAGGTGCCTTGGATGAGGGGATGCTGCAGTGAGGGGCAACAGGAATGGCAGAGTGGAGGTAACTTCTGGAGGTGGAATCCATGAGGTCCGATGGGGAGGTGGTAGGAGAAGGTGAGAAAGAGGACATTGGTGGCTCAGATTTCCATTCTAGGAGAGGGGGTGCCATCTAACGAGATGAGAAGACTGGAGGGGGGGGCAGGCTCAGGAAACACCAGGGAAGGTGGGAAATCAGTGATAGCAAGTCTCCACAAAGCTTTCCCTGAGAAGAAGCAATTTGGGCAATTTCAATAATTCAAAGTTTTAAAGGTAGTTTGCTTAGAGACTGTGAAGAGACAACCCAGAAGAGAAGCCCCCAGAATTCTCCCATCTGGAGGCTTTTACCAAAGAAGTGACCAGAGAGGTCACCAGGAGGGAAACCAGGAGACTGGCAGTGATGAGCACCCCAAGGACAGAGTGACCAGCTGTGCTGGGGGCTCAGGGGGAACAGGGGTGAGGAATGAAGTGTCATTCATGGTTTCAGTGAGAGCTCTGGATTGGGGCAGGCAGGTGAACAGGAAAGACAGCACAAGCAGACTGGACTCTGTTCACGACGGGTTAAAGGGAGGGAGCAAGGGAGCCACAGCCCCTTCAGTGTGAGTTTGATTGGCCTGCCCCCCCAACCCCCCACCCCTGTGAGCCACATGGTGGGCAGACCTCTCCTGTCTCCCGCTGCTCCCCTCAGCAGTATACTTCGTTGATCCACCTGTTCTTCCCCCTACTCTGTCTCTGGTGAATCCTCTCACCTCCCACACCTCTCACCTGCACCCCAGTTCTGTATGCATAAATAAATAATTTTTTTAAAAATAGCAAGAGGAGTGAGAAGGTGGTAGGTGAGGTGTCAGTTCCGGTTGGCAGAACTCAGGAGAGGGCAGTTGACCAGGGCAGTGAGTCTCTCTAAGGGGATGAGAGCAGGCGCCCAGACCTGGTGACATTCCTAAGCAATGCCAGGTAGTGGAATCAAGCCACTTCCTGGGTCCAAATCCTGTCCCTGCCTCTCACTCGCTCTATCACCTCTGGTAAGTGACACAATATCTTAGAGTCTCCGTCTCCTCACTTGCAAGATGGAAATAATAATAGTAATTAGCCCAGGGGATTGTTTGGGAAGATTAAATTAATTAAATGTATAAGATATTTTAAACAGTGCATTTTACTCAGTAAGGGCTGTTTAAGTGTTTGCTATTATAATCATTACAAAAAGGTGTGGGAAGGAGAAGAACGGAATGGGCTCAAAAGAATGAGCTTTGTAGATTTCCTCTGGGGACGATGAGGCGATTCTCCCTGGCGTCTGTCTGTTCTACGCAGCACCAGGCAGTAGGTGAGCGCATGCGTGCTGGGTACAGCGGGTTATGGAGGGGCAGAGCCACGCAGTGACTTCTCAGCATCTCCTTACTGCATGTAAGCAGGAATGGGTAGTTTCTCGAAGTAACATGAAATTGGCTCACTTGGGTCACAGGGATGGGACCACTGTTTCTTCTTGCAGACGGGCTGCTGGCAGCTCTGACCCATGGACGTCTCCTCCCAGCCTCCCGGCTCTGAAGTGTCCTCCTGGGTTTTAATGTGGTCAGGATAAGCCGCTTTGTGATCTGAAAGCTCTACTAGTTCTTTTTGTTGTTCTCAGTGACAGAGAGTCCATTCTTGGCCTTAGCTAGCAATGAGAATTTTTCACGATCTCATTGATTTAGTAACTTTGTGGAAGGGAAGGATAGGGGAAATACTTTCTACCAGAGAGTCTCAATCTTGGATGTGCATTAAAATAACATGGAGAGCTTTTAAAATTCCTCTGCCTACGCTGCACCCCAGATCTACTGACAATCTCACTGTAGGGGCTGGAGAGCCAGATACTCAATTTTACATTCTCCGGGTGATCCCAATATGCAGTGACTGAAGGTTATTTGCACTTTGCACTCATCTTTCTACTGCTAAGTACTACAACCACTCCTTTCTCCTCTGATGAGAGTGATACAGGCATTTCAGGACAAGGACAAAGCTGTTCTAGCTCCTGTGGTGGCCGCTAGCCACACTGGCCACTGACACTTGATGGGCATTCAAATAGAGTCCAAATTAAGCAGCACCATTAGCATAAAATACATACCACATTCAATTTAGTTTTAAAAAAACTCATTAATTTTGTAACCTATTTGCATGGTAAAATGACATTGGGTCAAACCAGATATTAAAATTAATTTCACCTGTTGTTTTCTCATGTTTAAATGTGGCTGTTGGAAAACTTAAAGTCACATCTGTGGCTGACACTTGTGGCTTGCAATGTATTTCCAGTAGACAAGTTCAGCTGAACACACTTCATGAGGCCCATTGTGGTGATGAGGGACTAGCGTATGCACCCAGAGGCTGGGAGCATCTCTCTTTTGTTCCTAAGCCTCGCCCCCACCCCGCCTCTTAGCTGCCAGACTTAAGTGTACATCTTGGTGTGTAAATCTCCCAGAGAGGTCAAGAGAATTGCATAAGTTATGGGGAGCTCACTCAGTCCTGGGGCCAGCAGTTTTCAGGGGCACTGACCACAGTGCTAAGCTGTGGGAGAGCGTGGGGGGAAAAGTTCTTAGAAGTGTGACAGGATGAGTCTCACTTAAATGGAGCTAAACAGAAGCCTGAGTGGTTCAAGAGGATTTCTCATTGCAGCCTCAGATTATAAGGAAGTATAGCAGGCCCCTATAAATAAATCATATTACAAAACTGTCAGGAAGTGAGCCTCCTGGTTGGGGCCCTCTGTTCAGTACTCTGACTGGGGAATTCCAGATTATTCTTTTGGGGAAGCAATAATCCAGAGGGCTTTTCCTTGGTAAGAGAGACCCCACTACCCAGACCTCATTGCCTAAAACTGTACTTCATGATAATGAGCTGGGGGTGATCCAACAGTCTTGCCTGAGCCCCAACTCTGACACAAACCACAGCAGCTGTTCCTTTCTTACCCAATCGGGATGATGGCCATGAAGGAGAGAAAGGATGAGAGAACAAAGCAGGTGCCCACAAACTTTTCCATGGTGAGCTGATAGATCTCGTTAAACAGTATGGATGTCACCACCCACGTCAGAGCCAGGGACAGCTGCAGGATGACAAACACCTTTCCTGTGGGAGGAACAGAAGTTACCAAGAAGGCACGTTGCTGTTGTCTCCATGTTGCCTGCTAGCTTTGTCTCTGGGGAGCTCTCACCCTCCTCAGGACTCCCTCTAATCTTCACAGTTCATGTCACTGCCTCCTGCTCCAACCTGTGAGCTTTTCCTGCGGCTCTTGGGTGGCAGCTGACTGAGACGCTCCCTCCCTCCTGCCCTGGGTGGACAACTATGAGCTCCTGTTGAACTCCAGGCTGCTTCTGGAGCTCTCAGGTATCTTCCGCAAGCCCAAACCTGTGCCTCAAGCCAAGCGGCTCTGGAAGGGCCCAGAGAGAGAGAGAGTGGCATAGGGCTTCCAGACTCACCATAGGAGGAGCCCTTTATGAGTTTGGAGATTGCTGACCGGATGGTTGTGATGGGGATGAGGGCAAACAGCATAACGGCCCGTGCTGGAAAGGAATCACATGGGAAAAGCTCATGGTAGCCCAGGCTTGGCCAATGAGTCAGGCCAAAGTCTCCTGCTGAGCCCTCTCCCCACACCCCCACCCTCACTGGGTGTCCTGCCCTGGGAGAAGTGGTTTCTCCAATGGCAGCCTGCAGCCCTCCTGGACCACACAGACTCCCCCCGTTCTGACAGAGCTGGAGACCGCCTGCCAGGTAGCGGGCATGGTTGGCATGATGATGGATGGTGAAGTGTGTCTGTAGTGGCAGAGTTAAGGGAAATGGCCCTGATGTCACTGAGAGGTATCTGCTGTCGCCACTCAAAACGCTTCTGGGAAATGGTCCCAGGAGCTTTGGGAAACTCCACCCAGAAATATCTGCCACCAATACAACTGCCACCCACCCTCCTCCCCTGTGGTTCTACTATTTCTCCCTTTGCAGTGTGTGTGTTGCATACGTGGGGTGGGTGAGGGGAGACGTGGTGGTAGGGAACGGGAGGGGGTGTCCATCTCCCCAGGAGCTGGCCAAAAGCAATCTTGCCATTTTGTTAGGTATTTTTTCTGAAGGACAGCCTTGAGAGTGATTCCTAACATGATGACCACTGGCCATGTGTGGCTGTTTAATTAAAATAGAACAAATTAAAATAGAATAATTTAAAACTCAGTTCTTTCTTCAATTGTTTGATATGATTCATGGCTACAGAACTGAGATAGAACATTTCCATCATTATAGAACGTACTAGTATAACTGGTCTGCAGTTCTCCTCTGGTGGTTGTCTGACTTGTGTCTTCATTATGGAAACTTCATTTTGTTTCCTTGAGGGAAGGTTTTACATTGGTTGTGGGAGAATTTGTGGAGAATTTTTATCCATGTTTTAAAGGCTTTGCTTGGCCCCAACAGCAGATTCATTCCTTTAAAATTATGCTTCGGCCCTCCCTGGTGGCGCAGCGGGTTGAAGCGCAGCACTGAGAAGCTAAAGGCCACTTCCGCGTGAGTTCGATCCCCGCCTGCCCTGGAGGTGACCACATGGCGTGGCAGACCTCTCCTGACCCGCCCGCTGCTCCCCTCAGCAGTGTACTTCGTCGATCTGCCTGTTCTGCTCCCCACTCTGTCTCTGGTGAAGCCTCTCGCCGCCCCTCAGCCTCTGGCCTGTACCCCAGTTCTGTATGAATAAATAAATAAATCTTTAAAAAAAATAAAATAAAATTATGCTTCATTCCCTTAAAATTGAATAGAATCCCAAGCCCATCTTTTCCATCCATCCATGGTCATCTCAAAGCTCCTGCTACTGATTCTGGCCACCACTGGCCACCTCACTCTTTTTTTTTTTAAGATTTATTTATTTATGCATACAAGAACTGGGGTGTAGGTCAGCTATGTGGTGGGTGAAAGGGATCACCAGATATAGAGTGGGGAACAGAACAGAACAGGTGGATCTACTGAAAAACTGAGGGGAACAGCAGGTGAAACAGGAGAGGTCTTCAGTGCCATGCAGGTCAGCTCCCTGGCCAGGGATCAAATTATGCTGCAGTGGCTGCTGGTAGCTTCATAGTGCTGTGCTTTAACCCGTTGTGCCACCAGGGAGGCCCCACCCCACTCTTGACCTCATTCTGGGAGTTCCTTCCCAGACACCCTTCTGGGATCATTTCAATGGGTGATAGAGTTAACACAGCACACAGCACAATACCAGTAGGTCAAGTTCACAATATCCTGTCCCCCTCATACCCCCTAGGTAGCAGTGCTCTCCCTGGTGCTGACCCTGGACCCCAACATCCCTGGTGTCAGCCCCCCAGGACACAGGAGGCCAGCAGTGCCCTCATCCTCCCTCCCCAAGCCCAGACTCACCGATGTAGAACATGTATGTCTCTTTCACAAAAGCCATGAGGAGGGCTCCGGACCCGAAGGAGACCATCCCAATCATGATCATGGTGGTGTCCCGGAAGCAGCGGGAGAAGGCCAGCACGCCCAGGAAGCTGGTGATGAAGATGGTGTACCCCGCAGCCATGCCGTAGCCCACCTGAACCTGGTTCCAGCTGAGAGGCTTCCTTAGCACAAAAAGTGGCATCACATCCACCGTGCCCACCACGGCCAGTTCATATATGATGGCACCCACAAAGAGCAGGGCAATGACAGTTTTTTGGGGCTTGGCTTTGCTAGGAGCTGGAAGGTGCCCTGCCTCGCTCTGCTTGTGGGGCTGATCTGGGTCCAGGGTGCGGTATGTGCCAACTGTGCCACACACGGAATCCACCGAGGACAGTGCCTTGCTGGGCTTGGCCACCGACACAGGCACCTTCAGCACAAAGAGGCTGTAGAAAAGGGCAAAAGCCGCGCAGCTCACGCTGCAGGCCGTCAGCACCAGGCCGTGCCCGGAGCGCCCAGTCATCTGCTGGAAGAGATGCCCCGATGCCATGCTCCCGCAGAAGCCCGCCAAGCCCAGGATCAAGTCGATGAGGATGAGACGCACAGAGCGGTGGCCCTCGGAGGAGCCCAGGGACCCCAGGGCCATGACCCCCGACCAGAAGGCGGAGAAGCCACCGCACAGCCCGCCGATCGCTGCCGCCCCGTACAGCACCTCCACCGGCCAGTCCAGCAGCACCTTGAGCAGCAGCCCGAGACGCGAGAGCAGGAAGCCCAGCAGCGACACGCAGATGGAGATCTTGCGGTGGTAGCGGTCGCTGAGCCAGCCCAGCCCGTAGGCAGACAGCAGGGGCGTCAGGCCCGCCAGCAGGTTGTAGAGGATGTAGAAGTTGGAGATGGCTTTCTGCTGTTGGTCCTCCGGAGACGCCCGGGGGGACGAGCTGGCACTGTGGTTGGAGAAGACCCCCGGGCTGTTGCCGAACGACTCCTTCACCACCAGCAGCAGCCCTGCGTCGTACAGGGACACGGCCAGCTGGGTCGACGCCACCACGGGCTCGATCCAGGTCCTCACCTGCAGGCGAGGCAGGGAGCCTCTCCGCGAGCAGGCGGCCCGGGTGCCCATGTAGCCTCTGTCCGGGGCAGGGCGATGCAAGGCGCTTCCTCGCGGGAGCCCCAGAGGCGAGAGCAGGTGAGCGCGGTCACCGGGGCGCAGCGGAGCGAGGCGAGCGGAGCCGGGCGCCGGCGCGTGTGACTGCAGCCAGTCCCAGGGCCCAGTGACGCCCCGACCGCGGCCACTCCTTCCAGGACCAGAAAAGCCGCGCCCCGCCCCCGGCGGCCCGGCAGCGGCGCTGGCGACCGCCCAGGGAAGCCGCGTGCAGGAGAGAAGCCGAGAGTCTCGGCCCGGGCGTCCCCGCCCTCGGGCCGCGCGGTCACGCTGCTCCAGCAAGCGCGGCCGCCGAACGAGGACCGAGGTGTCCTCAGGAGGCAAGCCTGGACCTCCCGCAGGTCGCCTAGGGGCTGAGGCCCCGCTGGGAAGGAACCCTTGGGCCTGGGCCAAGAGCAACATTCTGCTGGTCCTGGAAGGGCGGTTTGGGCGAGGACGGGTGCCCGGCATCAGGGCAGGCTGCCAGGTTCCACTTGGTGGGCTTAAAAGCAACCTATCATTTGGCAGGTAGCTGGGTGGCATGTCAGCAGCGCTAGTATTTCTTGGAACCGGATTTCAATTCGAAGTGGGGCTGTTGAATGGCATGGCAGTTCTACCTGAATTTTTTTGAGGAACCTCCATACTTTTCCTATAAGGCCTGCTCCAGTTTGTATTCCTACCAACAGTGCACATGGTTCTAATTTCTCAGATCCTCACCTATACTTGCAGGTTCTGTTTTGCTAATCGCCATTCTGGCAGGTGTGAAGTGATAGCTCTTTGTGATTTTGATTACATTTACCTGGGGATTAGTGACCATCAGCATTCTTACAGTCATGTATATGCATGTATGTCTTCTTGGGAGAAATGTCTATTCAAGTCTTCGGCCATTTTTCCATTGGGTTATTAGTTATTTTTTGGTTTGGCTTGGCTTTACAGTTGAATTTTAGCAACTCCTACATGTCCAGTCCCTTCAGGTGCAGACAATTCTGCCTTTTGCAAAGAGAAACACCCAGTTAGTTTTCTCATTAACTTGTGCCCTGTGGAGCTGACCTGGCAGCCCCCTCAAAGCCCTTCTTCGCTCTCGAAGCTCTCTCAGCTCTTTCTTCTTCGCTCTCACCTTGGTAAGTTTCGCTTCACCCAGGCCCTGTCTGCCTCCCCAGCTCACTCCTAATCCGGTTTAGCCGCAGCCTGCAGCAAAGCAGTCCAACCAGCCTGTCCCTTGTAGGGGCAGAGACTCCAGGGGATCTGAAGGTCGTGGGGGAAGATGGCATTCAGCAATCGACAGGACGTGAGGAAAATAGCCTGAGCCAGGCTCTGGCCACTTAACTGAGGATCCGCCTATTCTTGGGAGCACAGGCCCTAGAAGACAAATTTTATCCCCTGGGGGAATGTCCAAGGAAACTTCAGGGAACACAGAGATTCTCACCAGGGCAGGTCTTGTAGGAATGGGGTCATCAAGAGGCTCACCAGCCTGGCATCTTCCAGGCCTGGGACCTGGCATCACGTGACTCCGGAATGTGCTAGACCTGGCCAGTTGTTGTTTCTCCCCTTTAGGCTACTATGATTGGATCATATTTTACCATGCTTCCCTTCATGGGTGAATGCAGAACCCCAATTGGTCTGCCTGGCTGGAGTTAAAGCCTGGTTATTCTCTGTGGTCCAAGCCCCCAGCAGGGCATCGTCTCTGAGCCAGGTTGAACCCTGACACTGCCACTTCAGGGTCTAGCCCAAGGTGGGTGTATTAAGGTGCAGAGGTTAAATGCTCTTGCCTTATAATGTTGAACATCACACTAATTGAGCAAAAGAGCAATAAAAAAGTCACAGCTAACTATCACCAGCCGTATGTATGAAGCACTTTATATGAATGTGTGAATTTTATCTTCCCATGTCCCCAATGCACAGAGAAACTGAGGCCAGAGAGGTTAAGAAGTTTACACAAGATCATATAGTTAGCAAGCTGGGGAGCCGGCTAGGGAAACAAACTTTGAAAGCTGGCAGCTTTCACATACGGATCATGGGGAGTTTTATTTCAGAGTGTCCTCTCAACCAACATAGGAACATGGGCAGAGGAAAAAAAAACCATAATTGTGATGACATTGCTGTTGATCAACAATATATTGCATACATGGAGAGGAAAAAGAGGAGTGGATGGGACTTACTTATTAAATGTATATCCAGGCCCTTCACAATCAAGTAGGAAATACTTTCATCTTCTTATCGGAATATCCAAATATCTGAAAAGAACAGTCTTTGTTTGGGAAACACTTTGATCAGTGAGGAGGTGAAATCCCCAGGCTTGGGTTTCAGCTGTGGAGGAGGATCCAGAGAGGAGGGGTGGATGTCTCTGTGGTGAGTCAAAGAGAAGAACTGGTCTGATGCTCTTGAGGGAGGGGCAGAGGAGGGGAGGGAGGGGGAAGAGGGAGGGAGGGACAGCAGGGAGACGGAAGGAGGTGGAGGAAGTGACACAGGCTGTTGGAGGGAAAGCCCAGGACAGAGAATCCCCTGGTGTGAGAGCGAGTTTAGAGGCCCCTGCTGTCCAGACAGGACTCCAAATCTAAGGTGTCTAGGAACCTCTGATAAGGGTTTTCTTTCTTTCTTTCTTTTTTTTAAAGAGTTATTTATTTATTCATTCGGAACTGGGGTTACAGGCCAGAGATGTGGAGGATGAGAGGATTCACCAGAGATAGAG